GGGTTCTGGAGCCAGATCACTGGAATAACTGGTTTGGAGTCATCTCTACCATGTTCTAGATGTGTGACTTTCAGTGAGTCACTTCATCTTTCTGCGCCCCAGTTTCCTCATCTGTAAAAGGGAAGGCTCTTGAAATTAAATAAGATAACCAGTGTGTTTGCAATAGAAAGTTCTAGAGAGCTCAATAAATGCCATCAGTGTTTTTGTTTTTATTAAGTATTAACGTAGACCTGATGGGGTCAAGTTGTCACAGGAACAGCAAGAGAACAGACTTCAAGATGGAAAGGACCACTGGGCACAGGTGGCTCACACCTGTAATCCCGGCTACTCAGGAGGCAGAGATCAGGAGGATCGAGGATCAAAGCCAGCTGAGGGAAATAGTTCTTGAGACCCTATGTTGGGGAAAAAAAAAAACCCTTCACAAAAAAGGGCTGGTGGAGTGGCTCAAGGTGAAAGTCCTAAGTATGGAAAGGACTGTACTGCCCAAGGGATGTCTACTACATATCCTATCAGACCCTTCCTTCCAGTTCTTGCAATACGATTTTCAGTCCTACCTCAGGACCTTTGCACTAGCTATTCCTTCTTTACCCGAGGTCCTTCTTCCATTTCTTTGCTTGCTGGACTCCCTACCTTCAGGCCTCAGCTGAAATGTTACCATAGCAGAAGGCTTCCCTGGCCACTCTTCTCTCCATCCCCCTATAAATATACAACTGTCTTCTAGAATGTGTGCTGGGTTAAGAAGAACATTTAAGCAGGACACTGGCTACTCAGGAGGCAGAGCTCAGGAAAATCTCAGTTTGAGGCCAGCCTGGGCAAATAGTTCATGAGATCCTATCTCAAAAAAAAAAAAATCATGAAAAAGGGCTGGTGGAGTGGCTCAAGGTGTAGGCTCTGAGTTCAAGCCTCAGTACCACACACACACAAAAAAAAATATGGACAACTTACCTGTGTTGAATGGACACCTGAGAGAATTAACAGCAAGATGCCCTCTGTCATGGGAAGATAAAAAGGTGGGGAGATGTAGCAGCCCAAGGTGAAGAAGCTTGGGAAGGTGCTGGAGCAGAGCGAGAAACCAGGGGAAGGTTTTAAACACAGGAAGTAGGCCTGGGGATGTAACTCATGCAGGAGATACTGGGTTCCATCCCCAGCACCACAAAGAGAAAAAAAAATAGTGGGTCAGTTAACCACAGGAAGTGTCATGAGCTAGGATCGGGAGACTGTTTCACTATGCCAACCTGGAACTCTCCATCCTCCTGCTTGGCCTCCTGAGTGCTGAGATTTCAGGTGTGTGTCACCATGCCCTGCCACCCTTTTTTGGAGGGGGCAGGGGAGGGTACTGGGGTTTGAACTCAGAGCCTTACATTTTTAAGGTAAGTGTATCTGAAAAATAATTAAAGCTAAAAAGGGTTGGAGGGGCTGGCGGAGTGGCTTAAATGGTAGAGTGCCTGCCTAGCAAGGGAGAGGCCCTGAATTCAAACCCCTAGGACAAGAAAGAAAGAGAAGGAAGGAGGCAAGGTCACTCATGGTCAACGTTATTTAAATGATTACCATATCCGGTAAGTACCTTTTCATCATCCTTGGCTTGTTTGAATCAGGGATTAAACATGGCCCACAATGGTCTCTTTTCTCCCTGACATTTTATGATGGAGGCTCCCTCTGGTTGCCAAATGTGTCATAAGGTGGGATATGGAATCCAGAAACCCAGTGAGGCCGGTTTCATATTAATTACAGTATTAATTGCTAGCATTTATCAAGCCATTGTGATATGACAGACATTGACTTCTATACATTAGTTTTTAATTCCCAGAGCAATTTATTAGCAATTCATTGTTATTATAATCCTTGTTGTACAGGAGAGGAAAATGAGGCACAGAGAGGAAGTTTATGTGCCCCAGGTTGCACAGTGAGGCGTGAGCCTGGAAGTAGCAGAGCCAGGATTTGAACCTCTGCAGCCTGGCCCTGGAGTCCAGGCAATTTATTTTATGTTCTTTATTTTTTCATTTATTTTTAAGACAAAGGTGTTGCTATGTAGTTCAGACTGGCCTCAAACATGAGATCCTCTGTTTCTGCCTCCCCGAGTGCTAGGATTACAGGTGTGTGTTTGGTGCCTGTTGACTGGGACAGAGGACGTAAGGATGACAAAGAGGCCTGAGTGGAGATGTTACCTCTATGGGGCCTAGAGATGAATTGAGTGGAGGTGGCCAGGGAGGAAGGGGTGGCACCACGATGGTGGCCTTCCACTGAGAGCCTATTCTGAGCCAGGTGCTTTTCCAAACTCTCCGGCTGTGAACTCACCTGACCTTTACAAAGGAGGAACAGTTTTCAACCTCAGTTTATAGAAGAGAAAACTGAAACTCAGAAAAGAATGTTTTCAGGCCAAAGTCACTCAGCTGGGAAGGAGGAAGCAGGGTTTCTAGCTCTTAGGACCTCTCACAGCTGAGTCTACAAGAACCTCAGAGGGCGTGCCTTCGAGGAATGGGTAAATGGCCTAAAAATACTGCAAAAAACCCAAAAAACAAAAAACTGGGGTTGCAGCTCAGTGGTACAGTGCATGCTGCAAAGCCCTGGTCCTCCCCCACCATGGCGGGGGAGGGGTGGAGTTATCCTGAAAAAACAATAGGATGAGGCCCCAGGGATGAGGAGATCTTATTTTGGGGCTCTCACAGTAAAGAGTGCCTGCTTCCCTGCTTCCCTGGTTCCTCCTCCTCTGAGCTCCCCCCACCCTCAACCTCCTTGATTGTCCCCACCTCTCTCCCTCTCTAAGCTTACTTGGGACTCACCCCTGGTCCCAGCTTGGGGACAATCGCGCAGAGTCCACACACCTGGAATAAACGAGCAAAGTTCTCTTGGCTCTGTCTCTGCCTATTTCTCCCTCTCTGGTGTCTTCTCTTCTCTCTCCATATTACTTCCTGTTCTTTCCAGAGCACTTCCTGTTCTCCGCAGAGCATCTCCTGCTCTGATCTCCCTACATCTCCCCATCTCTCCCAATCTTCTGGGGTCTCTAAGTGTAACTTTGTGACTGTTTCTTTTTAGGGCATCCCAATTTGTCCCTTGTCTCCCCATGTCCCTGCATAGTTTACCCACTGTTAGAATAAAGAGACATAGGATGGGATAGGCAGGGAGACAGCTCAGCACCAGCACAGGCTTTATTATTCAGGAAGGAGCCCTGAGCAACAGAGCTGAAGCCTGCAGTCACTTACAGACTGGGGGTAGATCTAGGAGGTTAGTGAAGTCCCAGGAAGGTCACTGGGCAGGAAAACCCTCCATGCCTCTGACCCTCCTGAGATAATGGCTCAAGGGCGGCTCAAGGTCAGGTGAGTTTCTAGTAAATGGCTAAAAGTGGATGTTTATTTTTCTTTAGGGTTGGATAAAGAGTTTCTAGTAAGTCATTTTCTGGGAGGGGGAGGCGGGGGTGGTCCAGTTCTAATTTGGCTTCCTTTTGTTCACCCTAACAACCCGGGTTTCCCTCTTCAGTATTTCTGCAAGTCTTTCAAGGCTTTCTAGTTTCTGAGCACCTCTCCTTTGACAAAGGCCACCAGAAATATACTGGGGGCCCAGCAGAGTTGGATTTTATTAACTTGCTATAGCTTGGGAGAGGATCGCAAAGGGAACCCTACCAGCTCCCCAAACACAGCGTGAGAGAGGGCTAGCTGAGGACTTGGAAAGGTGACCTTTCTGCAAAATTTAATTGAAGCAGAGTTTAGGCCTAGGTTAACGTGGGGCCTGCTCTGGGGAGCCCCGTCAGGGCCTGGTCCATGGGAACCTTGGAATTAAGATAAAGGTGGCTGGTGTTGCTGGAAACCCTGCCTCAGAAGCTTGGCACCTTGGCTGGGAATTGAAGTGGCTTCTTCTTAACAAAGGGACTTAGATCCACCAGAATGGAGCGTTTTCTTTTGTACTGGGGTGGAACACAGGGCTTTATGCATGACCAATGAGTCACACCCTCAGCCTAGGAATATTCTCACTATTTTTATTTTTTTTAATTTATTTATTTTTTGGTCGTACTGGAGCTTGAACTTAGGGCTTCGAGTTTGCAAAGCAGGCTCTTTACTGCTTGAGCCACATCTCCGGTCAATTTTGCTCTGGATATTTTGGAGACAGGGTTTCTCAAATTATTTGCCCAGGCTGGCCTCAAACCTCAATCTGCCTAATCTCAGAGTCCCAAATACGTAGGACTACAGGCACAGGCCACCGTGCTGGTCCTCATTGTTGATATGATTCCAAAGAGCAAACTTTTTGATAGTCTGTGGATTAAGACAGCAGTTTCTCAGCTCTGAGAAACTGTATGTAAGTGAACACAAGCTGGGTTTAGGGGTTCACACCCCAACAAAAGACAAAGGATCTTCAGGTTGCACACACACACACGTCCGTATATGTATACGCATATATACATATATATATGTAAAGGATTTTTCTTGGAGGCCTCTCCTGGTGCTGCATACCTGTAATCCCAGCACTCGGGAGGCGGAGGCAGAAAGAATAAGAATTTGAGGCCAAATTGGGCTACATAGGGAGATGAGACCCCTGTCTTCTTGGAAAGAAAAAAAAAATTCTGATAAGGTGCTTTGGACAAACTTTAGGCAGAATAAATGATGCTGTGTTAAGCAGGGGCTCACCAAACAGTCCCTCAAAACACTAGTGACCTTGAACTAAGCACATTCTTCTTTCTTAGAATGGCTGCCCCCCCCCCCCCCCCCCCCCCGCGCTTTTCCTATGAAGTGGCCGGTGGTTGAACTTACTGGGGCCTCTTGCTGGGTTTCTACCTCTCTCCCTGTTTCTCTTTCTACACCACTGTCCCTGAGCGTCTCCTTGAGCATCTGTCTAGTCACTTTCTCACGTTTCAGAGTATCCCCTGCCTTGCCCGCTGTCTTCCTGGACGTCTGACATGTCACCGTCTCCAGCCCTGCACTGGCACGCTCCGCCCTCCGCCCTGGCGCCCGCGGCCCCTTTAAGGCAGGCCCCGCCCCTGCCGTGGCCCCGCCCCCGTCCCGCCCCCCGGGGTCAGCCGGGGTGCGTCCGGTTTGGCAGGCGCGCAGCCTCGGCTCAGTGTGGAGCGGGCGGTGGGCGCGATGGCAGGCGTGGCCCTAAGGGTGGCCGGGCGGCAGCTGAGCCAGGGCTGCGGGTCTGGAGCCCCCATCCTGCTGCGGCAGGTGCTGCTGGCCGGCCGGGAAGCGGGACTCTTGGGCCCGAGGGGGCGGAACTCCTTCGTCCTTCTAGAGGGAAAGATGTGGGCGTCCCACGCCTAGATATTCCAGAAAGGGAGTGGGGCTGGGGACCCGATCCTTTAAAGGGGAGCATCCTGGGTCCGTTAAGAGAGGGTGCGGGGATCCTGGTTTGGGGGATGTTTAAAAGTTGGAATTCCTTGATTATGATGGAGGAACATGGGGGACCCCCGACTCCTGACTCCCGGGGAGAAAGAGGGTGTGGGGTTTCTGCTTCCAGATAAAAGGAGAGGGTGGAGGGTGGAGGATGGAAGGGAAGCCTGGACTCTTGGGTCCCCAGAGACGGGAGTCAGGTCCTGTGCTCTTACCTTTACCCCATCCTCGCTCAGATGTTTGAGCCTAAGAGCTGCACCTACACGTACCTGCTGGGTGACCGAGAGTCCCGAGAGGCCATACTGATCGACCCGGTGCTGGAGACGGCGCCCCGGGATGCCCAGTTAGTGAAAGAGCTGGGGCTGCGGCTGCTGTATGCTGGTGGGTCTGGGTAGCAAACTTGGGCGTGAGGGAGGCGGGGCTCCAAGAAAAGCAGAATGGGAAGCTGGGGGCCTGGACCCGTGGGACTGAGGGAGGAGGCTGGGGGCTGAACCCCTGAGTCTGAGAAATGGGGCCAGGACCCCTGGGTCTGAGGGAGGAAGGTTGGGGCCTGGACCTCTAGATCGGAGGGAGGAGGGCTGGTGTCTGAATCCCTGGCTCTGAGGGAGGAGGCTGGAGTGTGGACCCCTGGTCTGAGAGAGGAGGGCTGGGGGCCTGGACCCCTGGGTCTGAGGGAAAGGGCTGGGACCTGGACCCATGGGTCTAAGGGAGGACGGCTGGGGCCTGGACCCCTGGGTCTGAGGAAGGAGGGGCAGGGACCTGGCCCCTGGGTGTGAGGCAACACTCAGTCTCTGCCCTCGTGGACCTGTCCTCTCTCTCCCAGTGAATACCCACTGCCACGCAGACCACATCACAGGCTCAGGGGCACTCCGGTCCCTACTCCCTGGCTGCCAGTCTGTCATCTCCCGCCTCAGTGGAGCCCAGGCTGATCTGCATATTGAGGAAGGGGACGCCATCCGTTTCGGACGCTTTGTGAGTTGGATGTTAGGGTGTCTGAGAAGAGGGTGGTGGTCTGCACTCTTTAAAAAAATTAAGGGAAAGTAAAAAATAAAATGAAAGAAGGCGTACTGGGGGCCTGGGCTGCTGAGTCCTGGGGAAAGAAGGGCCAGAAGACCTGACCCCTGACACCTGAGCTCGGATCTCTGGGAGGAGCACACCATAAACCCAGGTGGGGCACCCGGCCGGAGACTCCAGGGAACCTGAGTCTGGCTGAGCCCCCTAAGGTCAACATTCATGGAGTTTCCTAAGGCTTCAGGGCAGTCTTTGGCCTGGCATGCCCATAAATGTTAATTGGAGTTGGCCAGGGCTGAGGGACGACCGCCCTGTTCTCTGAAAACCATTGTTTGTGGATGCTTCTTCATCCTGCAGCCCTGTACCAGGACCAGGGCAGGTCTAGCAGGGCACCTAGCTCAACATTTAAGGTGGCACTCACTTGCAGCGTGGTGTAAAAGCAGGGTCAGCTCTGAGGAGTGGATGCCTCCTTAAATGTTGCACCCTGCAGCCTCACCCTAGCCCCGGCCCTGTTGCCTCACCCAGGAAAGTTCTGAAGGTTCCGGGTCTCCTTCCTTTTTTTTTTTTTTTGTCACATGCTTAATCAGCAGATTTCCTGCCAGAATTGTAACCCAGGGTAATATGGAGGGGGTGGAGGATTGATTGCACCCAGGACAAGGGAAACAGCTTATCAGAATTGCCAAAGAAAGGGGTGGGGGTGTGGGTCAGGTTCAGAGGGCCTGCCTAGCAAGAGGGAGGCCCTGAGTTCAAACCCAGTACTGCCAAAAAAAAAAAAAAATTGCTAAAGTTGTAGAGTTTGGCTGAGATGGGGGACAGAAAGTCAGGTGACCATGAGCTCTTGGCCTCTGGGTTGAGGGTTTTGCTGATGGGGACAGTTTGTTTAGCAAAAATGAGGCGTGTGTTCAGTTGGGGGTTTAGCTGCCCTCATTATACATTCTATTTCAAGCCTTTGTTTGGAAGCAGGTAAAAATTGTACATTTATGTATGTGTCAGAGAACAGTGAGGTGCTAACAGGCATTCCAGATTTGAGATCAGCCTCTATAAGATTAAAAATAATTGGGGCTGGCCCACACCTGTAATCCTAGCTACTTGAGAGGCTGAGATAGGGAGGATCAAGGTTCAGGGCCAGCCCAGGCAAAAAGTTTGCGAGACCCTCAAAATAACTAGTTATCTCAAAATAACTAGAGCAAAATGCACTGGAGGCATGGCTTAAGTGGTAGAGCCTCTGCTTTGTGACTGTTTTAGAAGCTCAAAGCCCTGAGTTCAAACTCCAGTCCTGCCAAAAAAAAAAATGACTGGGGTTTGTGTGAGTTTTGTTGAACTGAATGTGCTTCAGTGATGTTGAAGACTTTATCTGTGCTATGTCTAGCTTCTCAGTTTATTTTTTCTTCACGTTTTATTGCTAGAATCCACATGCCACACAGGTTACCCATTCTAGACACACAGTTCCATGCCTGTGTGTGTACAGACCTGTGCATCCACCACAGCCCTCCAGTTAATTTGAGAAAATTTTCATTACTCCAAAATGAAACCCCACACCCTTGAGCCATCACACTCATCCTCATCCTTTCCCCTCTCCCTCAGGCAGCTTTTATCATTTATCTATTATCTATCTATCTATCTGTCTATCTATCTATCTAGCAATCATCTATCATCTATCTATCATCTATGTATCTATCATCTGTCTATCTATTTATCATCTATCTGGGACAGGATCTCTCTATGTAACTCAGGCTAGCTTTGAACTTACCTTTTTTTTTTCAGTGCTGGTACTTGAATTCAAGGTCTGTACCTTGAGCCACTCCACCAGCCCTTTTTTTTGCAATGGTTTTTTTGAGATAGGGTCTCACAAACTATTTGCCCAGGGCTGGCTTCAAACCTTGATCCTCCTAATCTCTGCCTCCTGAGTAGCTGGGATTACAGGCATGAGCACTGCTGCCTCAGCCTTCTGAGTGCTAGGATTACAGGTGTGCACTACCACACCTGGCCTTCATTCCTCTTTGTTGTTGGACAATATTCCATTGTATAAGTGGGTATACCATATTTTATTTACCCATTAATAAACTGGTAGATGCTTGGGCTGTTTCTACATTTTGTCTATTAGGGATAATCATGCTGTGAATATTTCGTGGTGTGTGTTTTCATTTTTGGGTATGTATGTGAGAGTGAAATTGCTGGGTCATTTGATGATTCTATACTTGAGGAACTGCCACAGTTTCCAATATGGCTCTGTCATTTTCCAGTCCCACCAGTAGCTTGCCAACACTTGTTACAATCTGTCCTTACGGTTATTCAATGTGAGTTTCACTTTTGTCTCAGTTTTTTTTTTTTTTTTTTTTTTGCAGTAATGGGTTTTAAACTCAGGGCCTACACTTTGAGCCACTTCACCAGCCCCTTTTTTTTTTTTTGTGAAGGGTTTTTTTCGAGATAGGGTCTCACAAAGTATTTGCCGAGGGTAGCTTTGAACCTCAAGCCTCCTGAGTGGCTAGGATTACAAGTGTGAGCTACCGGCACCTGGCTGAGTTCTTAATACTTTTTTTTTTTTAAGTGGGACTGGGGTTTGAACTCAGGGCTTCACACTTGCAAAGCAGGCACTCTACTGCTTGAGCCATACCTCCAGTCCAATTTACTCTGGTTATTTGGAAGATGGGAGTCTCAAGAACTATTTGCCTGGGCTGGCCTCGAACTTTAATCCTCCCAATCTCAGCCTCCCAAGTAACCACGATTACAGGCGTGAGCCACCAGTGCCTGGCTGTCTTGAGTTCATTATAAATTTTTGGAAATGGGCCATATTTTCATACTCTTATTTTTTCTGCCCTTACCTTTTTTTTTGGAGACAGGCTGACCCTGAACTCACAGTCCTTCTGTCCAAGCCTCCCAATAGCTGGCTTTTAAGGCATGTATCCCCTTAAAAGTTGAGTTGCCCCTGCCTTTAAAAGTTATATACAGTAAGGCTAAACAGTGCATATACCATGCATACACAGCTTGGTAATTATTTATTTATTGTGTAGTGCTAGGGCCTTGCACACACTAGAAGAGTGCTGTACCAGTGGAAATCCAACTCTTGGGGGGGTGTTGTTTTGCTTTGTTTCTGAGACATGGTCTCACTATATAGCCTAGGCTACCTTGACCTAGAGATTCCTGCCTCCACCTCCTGATTGCTGGTATTATAGGCGTGTACCACCACGCCCAGCAAGCTTGGTACCTGTTTACACTTGGGTACCTATCACCCATATCCAGACACAGAACATTCCCTGAGTTATTTTTTCTGGGTCATGGAGATAGCAAATGTTTAACTGTAGTAAAATTGCCAGATAGTTGAGTTTGTTTTTTGGGTTTTTTCAAATTGTTTGTCTTTCCAGTTTAAACTCGGGGCCCCATGCTTGCTAGGCAGGTGTTCTGTCACTTAAGCCATGCCCCAGAACTTTTTTGCTTTAATTGTTTTTCAGGTCCAATCTCATGTGTCTTTCCCTGTCTGGCCTGGACCACAAACCTACTTAAGGTTTTACTAATTTTTGCTCAGGCTGGCCTCAAACTATGATCCTTGTAAACTCCAAATCTTGGGTAGCTGATTACAGGAATAAGATACCACACTTGGCTTATGATTGGGGTATTTTTGTGGCTTTTTTTTTCTTTTTAATAGTTCTGGGGGATTGAACTTGGGGAATCAAACATGCTACACAAAGTACTCTACCACAGCCACACTCTCAGGTCTTTATATTTTATTTTGAGACAGGGTCTTGCTAAATTACCTGGGCTGGTTTGGAACTCATGATCCTGACACCCAACTCTGAATTTTCTTCTTCGTCTTTTTTTCTTTTTGGCAGCACTGGGGCTTGAACTCAGGACCTCATGCTTGCTAGGCAGGTGCTCTACCATTGAGCCACTGAATTTTCTTCTTGAGAACCTGTTTGAAGGTTCTATCAGGGGAGCACATCTTGACCAAAGAGTGGACCTCCTGTACCAGGGAAGGTCGTCCTCTTTGACCAAGCTCACAGCTCCAGAGAGACACACATGAGCAGTGAGGCAGGAAGGGGACACCCACTTAGACAGCCAGGTCGCCCTCACATGCAAGCTTTCTTCTTTTAACAAGCAACGACTGAGAACAGAACATCTTAGCTCCCACTGTAGGTGACGGTTTGCAAAAGTTAGGCCTGTTAACTCTGTCTGCTTGTTAAAATGTCGGCTCCTCCGGTGCCAGGCTAGAGAGTCTTTAGTTGTTTAGGGTGAACTCTGTCTTTCTGTCTCTGCCTCTCTCTTGCGCTTATTCACTTTTTTTATTTTGGTAGTTACTGGGGTTTAAACCCAGGGCCTCACACTTGCTGGGCAGGCGCTTTACCACTGGAGCCACTCCACCAGCCCTTTTTTGTGATGGGTTTTTTGAGATAGGGTCTCGCAAACTATTTGCCTAGGCTGGCTTCAAACTGCGATCCTACTGATCTCTGCCTCCTGAGTAGCTGGGATTGAGCTTTCGGTGCCTGTCTCCAAATTATTTTTTGATGCACCATTGCATTGCGCATGTCGGCACACCATCCCCTAAACAGAACAAATAATTTTGTTTTTCTTCCACAAAATAAAGGAAGAGTGTTTAGCTGATGGAGATACAGATGATTGTAACTGCAATGCAAAAGGAGATTTGTGTTTTAGAGGGCATAGGAGCAGTGGCAAGTGCTACCAAGTTAAGTAAAGGTGGCCAGGTGCCTGTAATCCTAGCTATTCAGGAGGTAGAGATCAGGTTCAAGGCCGTCCCAGGCAAAATGAAAGTGAGACCCTATCTCAAAAACACCCAGTACAAAAAAGAGCTTGGGGAGAGGCTCAAGTGGTAGAGTGCCTGCCTAGCAAGCCTGAGGCCCTGAGTTCAAGCCCTAGTACTACAAAAAAAAAAAAAAAAAAGATGGAAGAATGAGCAGGTGAACCAAATGGAAAAGCTGCCAGAAGCTTTCCTGCCACCAGGGGTCAGTGCAGGCTGAGGCTGGGCTGGATGCTTGCACTGACTGATCCCTGCTCCCTTTCGGCTTGCTTAGCCATCTGGGTGTAGCCTCAGACTTAGCTGCAGCAGGAAGCAGGGAAGGGATAGTTCTGGGGGCATCATTTTTGTGATGTGTCATGGAAGGGAAGAGTGAAGATTGTTGAAGAAGGTGGGATTGGAGAGGTGGAGCCTGGCTGGGACATTCTGCAGCCAGGTCACCCTAAGTCAACAAGCTTCAGGAACAGTGGAGGCTGCTGTCCAAGGTGTAAGGTGCCCCCAGCTACAGCTTTCAGAGTTGAATATTTCCAAACCTCGAGTTAAGTGAAAGACTAGTGAGATTTTAACACTCTGAATCCACCAGTTGATTGTGTTTTGTCACATATGCTTTTTCTCTTTGTATATGTTCTTCCCCTCCTCCATAGTCAAAATAAATTGATGGGGTTGAGGGTGTAGCTCGTGGTTGGAAAAAAACTTGCAGTCATTTTACTCCTAGGGACTTCTAAGAATAAGCGTCTCCTTTGTCAGTGGTTCTCAAGCGTTTGATCTCTGGATTCCTCACATTTATGCTGTTGTTTGTGTGGGTTTATCTATCACTGCTTACTGTACTAGAAGCTAAAACCGAAGCTGCCTCTGGTGGCTCACACCTGGAATCTTAGCAGTTCGGAGGCTGGAATCAGGAGGATCATGGTTTGAGGCCAGCCTGGGGAAACAGTTCTCGAGACCCTATCTCCAAAAAAAATAAGCAGAATAAACTGGACTGGAGGTGTGGCTAAAGTGGCAGAGCACCTGCTTTGCACATGTGAAACCCTGAGTTCAAACTCCAGTCCCACCAAAAAAGAAAAAGAAATTAAATTTTGTTTGTGGTACTGGGGTTGGAACTCAGGACCTTGCACTTGCTCTACCACTTGAGCCACATCCACAACCTTTAGTTTTCTTCAGATAGAATCTTATGCTTTTCTTCAGACTGAGATTCTCCTACCTCTGCCTCCTGAGTAGCTGAAATTACAGACATGTTCCATCACACCCAGCCCCTAGCCCTTGGGGTATTTTTTATACTTTATTTTAAAATATATTATTGTTATACTGGGGGTACACTGTGACATTTACAAAAGTTCTCACAATATATCGTACTTGAATTCACTCCCATCCTAGCCCTTGGTTTTTTGAGACAGGGTCTCTATGTATCCTTGGCTGCCCTCCAGTTCCCCATCCTTCTGATCTGCCTCTCAAGTGTAGTTTACAGTGTGGTTACCATGCCTGGCTTATTTTTTCTTTCCTTTTTTTTTTTTTTTTTTTGTGGTTCTGGGGTGTGAACTTAGGGTCTGCACCTTGAGCAACTCTACCAGCCCTTTTTGTAATCGTTTTTTTGAGATAGGGTCTCTCAAACTGTTTGCCCAGGGCTGGCTTTAAACCTCGATCCCCCTGATCTCTGTCTCCTGAGTAGGTAGGATTACAGGTGTGAGTCAGGTGCCCAGCCTCTTTCCTTCTTCTTCTCCTTCTCCAAAATAATATACAAGCACACATTCCATCATTCATTAGAACAATGGCATCATCAAAGGTTATGGAATTTCTGGAAAACTACTCTGAGTGTTCTGGGAAAAAGGGCAAAATACATTTTTTGTTTTTGGAGACAGGATCTGGCTGTGTAGCTCAGGCTGGCCTTGAACTCCCAATCCTCCTGCCTCAGTCTCCCAAGTCCTGGGATTACAGACATGAACCGCACCGGAGGACATTGAGTTTTGACTCTTCCTGGCACATTGTTTTATGTATGTTCACCATTCTGGATGTGTTTGATTGTGTCCTCATGGTATCATTTAACTTGTTCTTCTAAAACCTTTTGTTTTTTTCCCTTTTCTTGGTGAGACTGGGGTTTGAACTCAGGGCTTCACACTTGCAAAGCAGGTGCTCTACCACTTGAACCACACCTCCGTCCATTTTGCTCTGGTTATTTAGGAAATGGGGTATTCAGAACTATTTGCCTGGGCTGACCTTGAACTGCAGTCCTTCCAATCTCAGCCTCCCAAGTACAAGGATGTCTAGTGTTAAAACTTCTCTTTCACAATTTTTTTTTTTTGTGGTACTGGGGTTTGAACTCAGGGCCTACCCCTTGAGACCTTCCACCAGCCCTTTTTTGTGATTTTTTTTTTTTTCAGAATAGGGTCTTATGAACTATTTTGCCCAGGCTGCCTTCGAACTGTGATCCTCCTGATCTCTGCCTCCTGAGTAGCTGGGATTACAGGCATGAGTCACTGGCACCTGGCCCTATACCACTTTTAATGACTATTCAGTCTTGTTTGTTTGTTTGTTTGTTTATTGCAGTGCTGGGGATCAAACTCCAGTGCTCTACCACTAGGCTCCATCCCCAGCCAAGTATTTCATTTTGTATCGTGTGCTTACTCTCACCGATGTGCAAGCTGTTCGTATATCAAGTTGATTGAGCACTGTGAGATTATGTGTCACAGATGTTCTACCAGCTTGTTAATTTCTTTGAAGGTTGGTTTTTTTGTAGTGGTGTTGCCATTCACAAAAATCACATTTATTTTATTTTATTTTTGAATTAGCATATGTAAATATGCCAACACTTTAGCATACGTTAAGTAACATGCATTGATTAGCATGCATTAATATACATTGGCATACAAGAGAATTTCATTGTGATAATTCCATATAGCGTTACAGTGTACTTTGAACAAGGCCACTCTCACCCCTCCTCTGTAGTTTCATTCCCTCCTCCCCTCCTCCCTTCTGCATTAGCGTTCGGTGGGTTTCTTCCTGCACTATGCCCTGTGCATAGGAAGTGTCAAACTGATTGAAGCCACACTCCTGGCCTCTTTCTCGTCTCAGCGTGGCTCTGAGGTAGGTGGACTGCCTGAAACTTGTTGGTGACTGTCTCTATATACTTCATTCCCTCCAGGCCTTGGAGACCCGGGCCAGCCCTGGCCACACCCCAGGCTGTGTCACCTTTGTCCTGAATGATCACAGCATGGCCTTCACTGGAGATGCCCTGTTGATCAGAGGGTGCGGACGAACAGACTTCCAGCAAGGTGACCGGCTCCTTATCTGCCCTACATCTTAGTATGGTGGTGGGTCTGGCTTTCAAGTGTCAGTTACAGGAATGAATGGATGTTAGATTTTTTTTCTATTGTGCTGGGGGTAGGTACATTATGGCATTTACAAAAGTTCTTATAATATATCAAATATATCATACTTGAATTCACCCCCTCCACCAGTCTCCATTATCCCCCCCAGATGTTAGATTTTTTTTTTTTTTTTTTTTGCAGTACTGGGGTTTAAACTCAGGGCCTACACCTTGAGCCACTCCACCAGCCCTTTTTTGTGATGTTTTTTTTTGAGAACTATTTGCCCAGGGCTGGCTTCGAACCTTGATTCTCCTGATCTCTGCCTCTTGAGTAGCTAGGATTACAGGTGTGAGCCACCAATGCCCAGCTTGGATGTTAGATTTTTTTCAGGGAGGAGTCCAGTATTAGATTTAAGGAGGTTTTTTGTTTGTGTATTTTTTGGCGGGGGCAGTACTGGGGTTTGAACTCAGGGCCTCACTCTTGCTAGGCAGGCATTCTACCACTTGAGCCACTCCGCCAGCCCTAGATTCAAGGAATTTAGCTGCTGCAGTTGAGGAAGAGTTAGATTCAGGATTCAGTGGTCAGATTCAGGGGTGTGATAGTTACTTGTTGCTGTGTAACACATACCTGAAACAGTGAGTGGCTTAGGACGATGAATAAAATGTACTTCTTCAGTTTTTTTCTTTGTTTTGTGTTTGTTTCATTTTGAGATAGGATCTCACTATGTAGTCCAGGCTGGCCTGAAACTGGTGAACCTCTTGCCTCAGTCTCCTGAGTGCTGCAATTACAGATGTACACAGCCATGCCCAGCTCCACACAGGTTTGGAGAGTCAGGAATTTGGGAACAGCTTGTCTGAGTGGTCCTGGCTCAGGGTCTTTCATGAGGTCACAGTCAGGCTGTCAGTCCAGACTGCTGTCATTAGAAGGCAGGACTAAAGCTTGGGGGGGCCTGCCTCCCTGGCAGTGCCCAACATAACTACCAGTTGCTGCTAGCTGTTAGGAGAAGGCCTTCAGGGCCACTCATGTCTCCGTGACATGACAGCTGGATTCTTCAGAGGGAATGATGAGAGATAGAGACATTCTAGCCTCAGGAAGTTACCCTGTCATTTTTTTGGCTATACTGGGGCTTGAACTCTGGACTTCATGTTTGCTATGCAGGCACTCTACCACTTGAGCCATTTCTGCAAACTATTGACCTGAGGCTGGCTTCAAACTGCCCGGAGCTGCTTTGGAACTGCAATCCTCCTGATCTCTGCCTCCTGAGTGGTTAGGATTACAGGTGTGAGCCACCAGTGCCCAGCTACCCTGTCATTTCTGCAGTGTCCTATTTGTTAGTACAAAGTACTTCACCCCGACTACTAGGTCAAGGTGAAGGGAATTAAGTGTTACATTCTTGTGAACTTATCTTAAACCACCATCACAGCTGGGCATGGTGGGTCATGCCTGTAATCCTGCCACTCAGGAGGCTGAGGCAGAAGAATCAAGAATTTGAGGCCACTGTGGGACAGAAAGGTTCAGGAATTTAGCTGTTCCAAGGTTGTTAGAGCCTGTGGTTTAATTACTAGGGACACCATTGCATTTGGGGTTTAGCTGCAAGGGACAATTTGATTTAGGGGTTCCCTTGTGAAAGTTTGTTTTTAGGGTCTCAGGACTGGGCTGTCCTTGGCACTTGTGTGTGAAAGTGGGTTGACAGTGGACTTGGAGGATTTAGCTGCCTTGGGGACAGAGGCGAGGCTGAGAAGGACAGAAGGTGCAGTGCGCAGTGTATGTCGATGTGAGGCCAGGCCCAAGCCGCCTTTTCCTCTCTCCTTAGCTCAGTCCTGTTCTTTTGGGCTCTTAACCTCCCAGTTATCCGTTCCCAAAATAGCCACGAAATGGGAGGACTTAGGCAGAAGAATGTTCCAGAGAATGTTCTAGAAGTTGTCTTTGCCTCAACTAAAGACTCAGAGCTTCTTCTCAGAACAGCTCCACTCTTCCCTTTGACCTCATATGTACAATGTCTTACCTTCTAGCCCACCTTCCTTGCCCACAGCCCTTCCTTGGCCTGCCAGAGTGAAGGCCTCAAAAACATGGTGATTCAGGGTCTCACTCCAACCTTACTTAGTCAGTTACATGGACGAATTTCTCACCCTTCCTCAGTTCTTTGCGTATGCTGTTCCACCCGCTAGAACACCCTTCCCTCTGATCTCAACCTCGAAAAACAGGTGTTGTTGGCAGGGAGTAAGGGACAGGGCTTAGCTATAGTGACTTTACCCCATCCTGTTCTGAGGGAAGGACTCAGGAGCTTCCCCTGTCCCATTGAGCACTCACCTCAGAGCATTCCTTCCCCAGGCTGTGCTAAGACCTTGTACCACTCCGTCCACGAGAAGATCTTCACGCTTCCAGGCAACTGTCTCATCTACCCGGCTCATGATTACCACGGTGAGGGCTTCTGGAGGCGGAGTGGGGCTCATGTGACTTTTCTGAGGGGAGGGACAGCAGCTTCCTATGAAAGTCCCAGGGCATGAAGACTAAAAGCCCCAAAATTCCTCTGGCCTAAAAGATTAAGTGCTGAGGTGTGCTGTGTGTGGTTGTAGAAACTGTACAACTCCTACAATTCTGCAGGTCATGGGTTTACCTGTGACTTCCTTAGAGAGCGCAAGGAACTGTGGGAAACTACATTTCCCATGGTGCCCACAGAGGCGGGACGGCATCCCAGGAACATTTTGGGAAGAGCCTGTTAGGCCCATGCTACACAGGTACTGCAAGGCCTCTTGGGAAATGTAGTTCTGAGACATCCAAGGGTGACTTTCCTTCTCCCTTGGCCACTAGGACTCACAGTGTCCACTGTGGAGGAGGAGCGAACTCTGAACCCTCGACTCACTCTCAGCTGTGAGGAGTTTATCAAGGTTATGGACAACCTGAACTTGCCTGAACCTCAACAGATAGGTGAGTACCAGGAAGCACCTTGGGTCTGGGGGAGGAGGCTGGGCCTGGACCCCTGGGTCTGAAGGAGGAGACTGAGTTAGGGACCTCTGGGTCTGAAGGAGGAGGGATGGGGGCTGGACCCCTGGGTCCTGAGTGGAGGGGACTCAGGCCAGAACTCTAGTACCCCAAAAGGGCTCCAGTGTTTCTGGGTCATGAGGAGCTTGGGGGGTCTGCCTGCTCCCTCAGAATCTCTGGTGTTTTCCTCCTTTCAGCCTTTGCTGTTCCTGCCAACCTGCGCTGTGGGGTGCAGACCCCACCTTCCTGACCTGTCACAGGTCTCCTAACCGTTGTTAAGAATACACTAGGTGGGGTGAAGCGAGAGGTGTCACCACTGTTCCTCTCTTTTCTCCCACCCCAACCCCACACCAGCCCCTCAAGCTTCTTAAATAAAACTTATTTTGTTTTTTGTCATGAATCTGCCTGCCTGTTTTCTGGGGACCAGCTGGGTTTCTGTCTAAATGGGGTCGGGTTGGGAACTGAGGTTCTAACTCACAAGATGAGGTACCAACCTGGAATTGGGGGCAGGTCTCCTCATGGCCTTTCGTTAGAACACAGTCTTGTGTTTGAGCCACTGCCCTTTCTCAATGCCCCAGGGTAAGGTGCTTCCCTTCTGCAGTCCTTAGTGCCCTCATCTGTAAAGTGGGAGTAATAATAACAGGGGGTTCTGATGACCTGATAAGTCCATTAATATGAATCCCTGCCTGGCAGACTCCCTGACAGCGTTTGGGCCATATCATCTGGAATGATCTCCAGGCACTTCCTGGCTTGGAGTGACAGTTTACCTAATGGGTAGGGACACGGATTTTGAGAGCCCAAAGCTGGTGCTGACATGTACAAAGTTTGTAGATCTTGGGTACACTTGTTTCCCTCAGCCTCAGTTTCCCCAAATATAAAATGGAGAGCTAGTAATCCCTTTCCTGATAGGTTTTGGTATGAAACCAAATTAAGGTGTGTAAAGGGGTTTGCACAGCTTGTGACATCTAATTATTCCCTTACAAAAATACCAGTTATTTTCCTGTTTTTGCCCAGACAGGAAAGGGTCTGGTTGAGACCTTTAACCTGTGGCCTCCACCCAGTACTAAAGCATGTTGGGGGCACATTTCCTTCTGTGTCTGGGCGGGTCTCTGACTCAGCTCCGGGCACCCGTACCCCCTTGTCCAGCTCCCTAAACCGGTTTGGGGCCCTTCTAAACGGCTCATTAGAGGGGAGAGTCCCCCATCTCTATTCTGGATCTTCCTTTGAGGCCTCGCAGGATCTGAGCTTTAGAGAGACTGGTATTCAGAGATGGCCATGATGCCCATCCCTCCAGGGGACAGGAATGGGGCCACTGGAGGCAGAGTGGGAGGTCTCGATGCTCAGGGTGGGGCTGGTGGGGCCGGGATGGCGAGATGCCACAGTTGCGGGCGGGGCAAGTTGGTCTCTCCCTCCTCCCTAGAGAGCTGTTGGACCTGTTGTCCCCCCCTCCACTTCCGGGCTGCTGGGGAGGGGGACGGGGCGTCCTCTCTTTCTTCTCTCCAGCCCAGCCACCTGTCTCACTGCAGAAGTGGCAGTGCCCAGAGCGCAGAGCGGAGCGCACGGAAGCCTGAGCTGGTGAGGGGCCGCGGCTGCGGGACAGGAGGGGACTGGAGTTCGGGAATCTCCTTCTTGGGACGCTCAGGTTCCAGACTGTCCAGAGAGGCGGAGACCCGGATCCCCAACTCTTGGATCCCTGGGTGAGGCGGCATGAGCGCTGCTCCTCTACAGTGGGGTCGCAAGGCTGCGGGGCTCCGGGGAGGAGGGGATAGTGAGTCCGGGAGAAGGAAGGAGATGGGGTCCGGCAGAATGAGGGGTGCAGCTGGGAGGGTTCAAGGCTTGACACCAGGATAGGAGGGAGGCTCTGAGTCGAGTCGGCCAGTAGGGGGCGTGTTAGGACCCCCCGACTCAAATTCCGGTCCCGCCTTCAAGGGGCGGAGTCGCCCTAGGAGCAATCAAACCTCGCCCCCAACTTCAAACCCCGCCCCGGGTGACTCTAGGCTCCGCCCACGGAATGCTCAGCGCCAGCCTTTGAACTCTTTGGCCCCGCCTCCTAGAGCTCTGCGCGCGGCGGACGCTCAGACCACGCCTCCACGCTGAAAGACCACGCCCCGGAGCTCCAGGCCACGCCCACCCCGCAGGACTCCGCCACGGCTATGGGGACGCCGAGCAGCCCCGAGGAGGTGACCCCGTCGCCACCAGTCCCAGAATGCGATGCAGAAGTCCAGCCCCAAGGGGCTGCCCAACCCCAGGGGCGTCCCGAGGACCCCCAAGGACAGGCGGCTCCCCAGGCCTCGGCGGAGCTTACGAGCGGCCGAGGAGCTGAGCCGCAGGCGGAGGAAGAGGAAGAAGTGGAGGAAGGCAGCAGCACCGAGAGCTGCCGCGACGAGGTGAGGCACCCGCAGGGCGACAGCCGCGAACACTCAGACACACAGACAGAAGCAGGTGGCTGGACACAGAGGGACAGAGGCCCGAAATGGGAGAGGCCGCAGAGACGGATGCAGAGACAGCAACCAGGTGGGGAGGCATGGGAGGCCCAGACAGACAGACAGACAGACCCAGAGACGCAGAGAGACTGGCAGAACCAGAGACAAGGTGAGACATCTGGACACAGGCAGCGACACCAGAGATAGGGAGAGACCATTGAGAGCCAAACGTGAACTTGGAGCCAGAGAACCCCAGACTTGGAGAGAGACAGATAGAAACAGACAGACAGAGAGTGAGAGACAAAGACCCAAGAGACACAGACAGGAGGGGAGGGAGGGGAGAGAGAGAATCCCAGTAACAATAAATAGAGAGGCGGAAAAACGGAGGGGTGGGGGGACAGAGAGAGAGAGAGAGAGAGGGAGAGAGAGAGAGAGAGAATCCCAATAACAAAGGACAGAGATACACAGAGAGACAGAGAAACCTCGAAAGACTTCAGCGATTCAGACACGGAAGACAGGCAAAAGAGACTCAGAGACGCCAGAGGAGAAAGGGACAGAGATCCAGGGACTATGAGAGAGTGTCACCAAGAGTATGGGACCTGGACTGAATAAAGAACTTCCATAAGTCGGCTTTTTATCCTTTACCGGATCTGCGAGCCGGACCTGCACCCTCTTCCGTGGGGTCTTAAATAAAAGCCTGACATAGATCTTGGGAGTAGTGGTTGAGTTAGGCCGATAGTGACCCCTAGATGAGGATGAGGGGTGGGGACCAGATCTGTTTAGTGACTGTAGGGGACGAGGCTCCTCTTCCTGACCACGCCCTCTCTAACTTCAGCCGGAGGCCACGCCTCCAGTACAGATCCTGGCCACGCCCCCCACGTGTACCCCTTCTGGAGAAGGGGTGAGAGGGGTGGCGCGGCGGCTGCGAGGACAGCAGCTGGAGGCACTGACCCGTGTGGCCCTGATGGAGCAGCGAGTGAAGGAGCTCCAGCGACAGAGGAAGGAGTTGAGGATCGAGGTGAGGCTGCGGATCCCTGGGAAAGTCAACTCATGGGGAACCTCCCATGGGGTCCAGATTGTAGATCCTCAGCCCCATCCTCCCTCCAAACCTAGGTCCCCAGCCCTTGCTTCTCTCTGCAGATGGAGGTGGAGGTGGCCCTGCTTCGGGGTGAGCTGGCCGGGGAGCGAGTGGCCGCCCGGCGGGAGGAGGAGCAGCTCCAAGAGCTACTGGGCCAGCAGGTGGCCGCGGAGCAGGGCAGCCGGGAGCTTCGGGAACAGGTTGGTTAGATCCGGGGTTTCCTTCCTTGTTGGACCAATATTCCGGGCGTTTCTTCCTGTGATTGGACCTCAGGTTGTCCTCGTGCCTTAAATGGGGACACGTGGGCTGCAGAGTGGGTGAGGGGCAGATGCCTCTCCTTGTTCTCTGACCTCTCTGACCATCATCTGGGGGTCTGAATTGTGGAAGCCTCCTCAGCCCTCTCCTTTTTGATCTTTAAATGTCATATTGGGAAAAATTCAAACCCTCAAACGTTAACTCGATGGCCCCGATGTGCTGTGTTCCACAGTTCAGCATTTATTAATCTCCATCCTTTTTTCTTTGCTTTTTTGGAATTTGAACCCAGGGCCTTCCTCATGTTAGGCAAGCGCTCTACCATTTGAACTACATCCCTAGCCCTTTTGTTTTTATTTTGTTTTATTTTTGAGATAGGGTCTCTGTAATTTTGCCCAGCTGGTCTCAAACTCTTGATCCTTTCCAGTTGCTGCAATTACAGGCATGCACCACCATGCTTAGTTTCTAACCATCTTTCATGTTCCCCAATTTGCTTTCCTGTCCCAAGTTTTTTGTTGTTGTCATTCTTGGCTTTTGAGACAAAGTCTCACTGTGGATCCAGTCTGGCCTTGAATTTGCTATGTAGCTCAGGCTGACCTTGACCTTGATCCTCCTGCCTCATTCTGCTGGGGTCTAGGACTACAGGTATGAGCTGCAGGGATTACAGCCCCATCCCACCCAAGGTGGTGTTTTGTTTTGTTTTTTTTGTGGTACTGGGGTTTGAACTCAAGGCCTATACCTCGAGCTACTCCACCAGCCCTTTTTTGTGATGGACTTTTTCGAAATAGGGCCTCATGAACTATTTTGCCCAGGCTGGCTATGAACCGTGATCCTCCTGATCTCTGCCTCCTGAGTAGTTAGGATTACAGACATGAGCCACTGGTGCCTGGCTTCCATCCCAATTTTTAAAAGCTCATTCAAGCTGTGGATGGTGGGGCATACCTGTAATCCCAGCACTCAAAAGGCTGAGGCAAGAAGATAGCAAGTTCAAGGCCAGCCTGGGCTACTTAGAGAGTTCCAGGCAGGCCTCGGCTACATAGTGAGACCATTCTCAAAAACCCAAGAAGAAAAACAAGCCCATCCCAGACATCGTATTTTAGCCTGTGCGCACTTGAGCATGTACTCTTGAAAAAGAACTCCCTTTTAAAAAGTGATATCGCCCATGTGTTGAAATTGCTTGATATCTCATGTGTTTTACAGCTCTTGGTTCTTGCCAGCTGCGCCTGCCCCTTGCTGTTTGCTGGAGACACCAGGTCTTTGTCCCACAGGCAGGATGTGGCTGACCCCGTGATGGTCAGTGGTCAGTGCCCAGTGGCCTGCTGTTCGCTGAAACCAGATGGTTGCATAGATGTACAGGCTCCAGTGAATTCAGACCTGCTTTGTTCTTTCTCTTGTTTTTCTGGTGCTTCACTATGGGGCCCGGGCTGGCCTCCAAGTCCCGATCCTCCTGCTTCAGCCTTCTGAGTGCTGGGATTAGAGGCACATACCACCATGCCCGGCATGCTTTGTGCTTTTTGAGCAAGTATTGGGGACACCATCTCTGGGTGTGCAGACCTCAGCAATGTCACCCCAATCTCTCAAGACTCCTTTATGTAGACAGTTTAGCATCTCTGTGGTCAGTGCTTGCACCAGTTATCTTTAGAGGTTGGAGAGTGCTGATTTGGCAATTCCACCAGGCTTCTCTTGGCAAGCATGTTGTTTGTTGGAATTTCCTGGGGCTGGGCCATCATTTTCACTGAAGGCCCAAAGTTCCCATACCCTGATTTCTCTCCTGAGGTCGAGGTCCAGGGCCCCTGCTTCCTAGGAGTCTAGCTTCCAGTCACTGCTTCTTCCACAGACACAGAAATATAAGTTCCCAGCCTTCTTCCCTCAGACCACGAGTCCAGGCCCAAGATTCCTCCCTCAGACCCAAGTCCAGTCCTCAGCCCTCTCCCTCAGACGCAGGATCCAGGTTCCAGCCCTTCCTCCCTCAGACCCAGGGATCCAGACCCCAACACCTTCTCTATCAGACTCAGAATCTACATCCCAGACCTCCTCCTTCAGACCCAGGAGACCAGGTCCAGCCCTCTTCCCTCACACCCAGGAGACCAGGCCCTGCCTCCTCCCTCACACTCAGTTTGGCCTTCTTGTTTACCATATCCGCAGTTGCTGTCATTTTCCAGTGTCCTCTCACTGTCACTTCCATCACAAGCCAGAACATGGTCCTTGCCCTGCATGCCTCCCTGTCTCCAAGTCCCGAGCCCACCAGTCACCTATCTTGTCCTGCCTCTCCCTGGCCCTTCTCTTCTCCATCCCCACTGCCCAATCCCCCACCCAGGTCACAAGGTCATTGCTTGGAGGGCTTCTGAAGGGCTGGTGTCCACCCCTCCAACCCATCTCCCAGAAGGACGATTCCAAACCTAAGTCTACTCCATCCCTTTTAATCCATCCATGGCTCCCTTCTGCCCCAAGATAAATAAGGGCTCCTCAGCTCAACCAAACTCTACCTGAGCTTTATATTCTGCTTTCCCACTGTCACCTCCCAGCAACCTCCTCTCTTCCCACTGCTACATCGTTCTCCCCGCCCGCCCCCCCCAAACTTTCTGAACTTTTCAACATCTGTCCTGTTGTACCATGCTGTTCCCTCTGCACAAAATGCCCTTCCAGCTCCGTGTAGCTCACCAGGACCAAATGCTCTGATTTCTGAAGCTCACTTTAAAATTCCTATGTCCAGGAAGCCTTGGATTGCTGCCCCAGAAATTACTCCCTGCTTTGTGTTTCACTGGCTCGAGAGGCACAGGTTATAACTGTCTTTGTCTCCCCAGCTGTAGGGCTAGTAGCCTGGGTCTGACCCACCTCAGCACCCAGTCTTACCCAGCATGGATGTGTTTTGGTTTCATGCCTTCATTTCTTTCTCTGTTTTTTTTTTTTTCAAGAGGAGAGTACGAGGGTTTGAACTCAGGACCTTGCACTTGTTGGCCCTACTGCTTGAGCCAGGCCACCAGCCCTTTTTCGTTTTAGTTATTTTTCAGATAGGTCTCCTGCTTTTTCCTGGGCCAACCTCAGACTGCCATCCTCCTACCTATGCCTCTCAATTAGCTGGGACTACAAGCATGTACCACTATACCTGGCTTGTTTTTGAACTAGAATCTTGCTAACTTTTGCCCCAGGTGGCCTTGAACTGTGATCCTTCTGTCTCTACCACCTCAGTAGCTGGGATTGCAGGTGTGATCCACCATGCCCGGTTCTCATTGTTTCTCAAACAACTGTTTACTTGCTGTGTACTCTGGGACAGACTTGTACACAAAGAGTAAATTAAGACAGGTCCCTGTTGGCCTGGAACCGACACCACAGGCAGGGGTCTGAGATCTGGCTGGCCTGGCTCTGGTTGGCTGGATTCTCTTCCTGAGCTTAGGCTCGGACTCACAGCTTGTTTGTTCTTTCAGGAGCAGAGGCGGCTGAACCAGGAGCGGGAGCATGTGGAGGGCCTTCGCCGAAGACTTCGGGATGCCGAGTCCCAGCTTGATTCTCAGCCCGAAGGCCAGCGGGAGCGGCTTCTGCAGGGGGTGCAGGAGGTGAGGGTCCGCTGCAACCTCTCAGGGACCTGTCTAGATGCCTCCTCCACCAGTCACAGGGGTCCAGGCCCAGCCTCCTCCCTCGGACCCAGGGGTCCAGGCCCAGCCTCCACCCTCAGACCCAGGAGTCCAGACCCCAGCCTCCACCCTCAGACCCAGGGGTTCTAGGCCCCAGTCCCCTTCCTCACTGAACAGGAATCCCAGCCTGGCTCCCTACTTTCCTGGACCCCAGGACTCCAGCCCTCTTGTCCCCATCACAGATGAGGGAACAGCTGGATGTGGCCCAGCGTGCCTATGAGGACCTGGAGTTCCAGCAACTGGAGAGGGAGAGCTGGCAGGAAGAGGAGGAGCGGGACAGCCCCGGGGCCCGGGCGCCTGACCCCAAGGTCCAGGAACTTCAGGCCAGTGTGGCACAGCACAAGGTGTGTCTGTGGGACTACCCTGGCCCTGCCAGTATTCCTGAGTCTTCTCCCCTCTGTGATGATCCCTCTCGGAACATTTGCTGTGTCCCAGACATGGTCCTAAACATTCATGAGGACTCACTCGTTGAATCACGAAAACCTGAGAGGCCAGTCCTGGCTTTTTTTTTCTCAGATATCCTTATAACTGATGAAATTGAAGGTTAAGGTCCTCATGTAATCTTTCCCAAAGCCACTTAGTTCAAAAAGGGTAAAGCTGACACGTGAACCACCATGGTCTATGCCTCTCATGTCCTTGTCCAAAAAGATGTGCCCATTAGTACTTTCTGTGACCTCAGAGATCTGATTAGTCCTGTGGGAAAAGGGGCAAGTTTGACTCTAAGTGACAGTTCCCTGCATTGCAAAGTTCTGAGGGGGTCTTCCCCGACCTCTACTTCCGGATCTGTTCCCTATCCTCCTGTTTTCATTTCCTCTGCTTCAAACGGCATCTGTCTTTCTCCCTTTCTGCCTTCCCTCCCTTCCTTCCTCCTTTCTTTCTTTTCTTTACTTTCTTTTGATAGGCTACATAGCCCAGGCTGACCTTGAATTTGTAATCCTGCAGTCTCAGCCTCCAGAGTGCAGGGATTGCAGGTGTTCAATGCCATGTCCAGCTCTGTTTCTGTCTTTTCTTCTTTCTCTACACCTGTCTTTTTGGATCTGTCCTGGTCACTCTTCTGTAGATCTGCCCTGGTTTTCTCTCTCTCTCTCCCTTTCTGTCCTCAATGAGTCTCTCTTAGTCCCTGTCTTCCCTTAGTCTCTGCCTGCATATCACATCCTCCTTCTTATAGTAGGCCACTCTTAGACCTCAAAAAAAAAGATGGTAACTTGGAGACCCTCTGCCCAGCAATTCCTGAAGCCTCTGAGGTGGTGGAGCAAGCCCCAGCTCCCAGGGAGGGTGGGCTGGGCCCCGAGGACAGCTGAGTAAGCGGGCTGGGGTGCTGTGCAGCGCCGGATCCAGGTCTTGGAAGAACAGCTCAGGTCATTGGGGGAACAGATGGCTGCTGAGAGCCGTGGGCTGAGCCGGAAGAAGGAAGAGGCCATCCAGGCCCTGACACAGGTGCGTTTCCCCAGAACCTGTTCTAAGCCCCACTTCCCAGGGGTGGGGGTCCCCATCGTCTCCCTGCATTCCATCTGTTTCCTGACATTGGGAAAAGTGATGGCGTGGCCCATTCTGACTGGGAGATGTTGTAGGCTATCATGTCTCCCTCTAGGAACGGAGCCGACTGCTGGAGCTCAGCCACCTTCATGGAACACCTGGTGGGGACTTCTCTGAGCCCAGCCAAGCCCTCACTAAGGTATGGGGATATCTACACCTGCCAGCCCCTCCTTCCTCTGACCAGGGTTCCAGACCCCAGCCCCTCCTCCCTCAGACCCAGGGGTCCAGACTCCAATCCTCCTCCCTCAGACCCAGGGGTCCAGGTCCCAGCCTCCTCCCTCAGATCCAGGGGTCCAGGCCCAGCACCTCTTCCTCAGACCAAGGTATTCAGACCCCAGCTTCCTTCCTCAGACCCAGGAGTCCAGGTCCCCGCCTCCTCCTCAGGGAACCAGGACTCTTCACCCGCAGCCCTGGTTCTTGCTGGGAGACTGGACCATAAGGAGCACCCTCCTGCTCCCTTGTGAACAAGCCTTTGTTTCTCCATCTGAGACATGGCTGTACTGGAGACAGGCGCCCTAGCATCTGGGAACTGGCGGAGCCTCCAGACTTCACCTCTGCCTGTCTCCCCAGCTGCTGTTTACTCAGAAGACAGACCGCCAGCTGCTGGTGCTGCAGGACCCCACCGCCCAGGCAGCTGCCTCTTCTACCTCCTCCTGTCTCTTCTCCGTCCACAGCTCCCTGCAGGTACCTCCCAGCCACCTGGGTTTTCCCACTGGCCTCAGGGGTCCCTGGGAAGGGAGGGGCTGAGAGCAGAGTCCCAGGTCCAGAACTCTCTGCCTCAGGATGGGCAAGGTAGGGACACTTGATCATGGTTTTTTGTTGTTTGTTGTTGCTGTTTTTTTTTTTTTCCCCTGTACTCAGGGCCTCCTGCTTGTTAGGCAAGTGCTCTTCCTCTTGAACCACACCCCTAGCCTTTTTCTTTTTCTTTTGATTTTGAAAAAGGGTCTGGGTGACTTTGCCCAGGCTGGCCTAGAACTTGCGATCCTTCTGCTTCCACCTCTGAGTATCTGGGATTACAGGTGTGCAACACCACGCTTGGCAATCAAGGGAATATTTTGATGGCTACAGTTTTAATAATAATTAACAAATTATTTTTTATTTAATTAATCATTTAAATAATAATAAAGTATTTAATAAATAATTATTCTTTCCTCTTCCTAACAACCACTTCTGCCTTGGGGAATTTTTTTTTTGTTGGCACTGGGATTTGAACTTGGGGCCTCACGCTTGCTAGGGTGGCGCTCCATCACTTGACTCACTCTGCCAGCCTGCTAATTATGTCTTGATCCTTCCAGATTTCCTTAAAATGGGGGTCTTGGGGCTTAGAACACTCAACCTGGCATGCACGAGGCTCTGGGTCCTATCCCCGGCACTGAAGAAAAACCCAAAAACTCCTACCCGAAAAAAATCCCTTAAACTGGGACCCCATCTTCTTTATACTGTAATCATTCATTGAATGGGTTGATTGCTACTATTTTTTTTTTTTGGTAGTACTGTGGTTTGTTTGTACTCAGGGCTTTGCATTTGCAAGGCAAGTGCTCTACTGCTTGAGTCACTCCAGCTCTGCTTCTAATTTTTAAAAAAATGAAAGAGAGTAAAATATCATGTGCAGAGTATATGATTAGGGATAACATTACATGAAAAGTCTTGTTCCATTGTGTGGGCCTATGATAACTGCTTAGAAACTGGCAGCTCCTATATCATGTCAACAACTCTTGTTCAAAAATGTATATAGAATCACATGCATGGTGGTACACATCTGTAATCCTGGATACTCAGGAGTCAAGGGCAGAGGAATAAGAGTTTGAGGCCAGTCTGGGCTATGAAGTGAATTCCAGACCAATCTAGGCCATTACAGTAAGACTCTGTGTCCAAAAACCAAAAGTAGGCTGGTGCAGTGATACACAGCTGTAATCTCAGCTACTCACATGCCTGTAGTAAGCCCAGCTAAGTGGGAGGTGTAGGTAGGAAGATCGCAGTCTGAGGCCTCCTGGGCAAAAGCAGGAGACCCTATATAAGAAAATAATTAAAGTAGAAAGGATTGGGGGTAGGCTTAGTGGTAGAGCACCTGCCTAGCATGTGCAAGGCCCAGGGCTCCATCACCAGCACTGCAAAAAGGAAGAAAAACTTCTTTGCTGTGTGTGTGTGTGTGTGTGTGTGTGTGTGTGTATTTATATACTCAATAACAGCAATGATATAATTTAATCATCTCCTGCTACCCAACACTGTTACATATAATATAACCATGTGATTGTGTTATTCTCTATTATTTTATTATCATGATTGCACATTATATGTAACAACACACGATTTCTTATTTATTACTGAGTGTTAATACTTCACATCGCTTCTAAAGGAAGTGTTTATCATTCACTAAGTGAAAAGAATGGCAGTGGTCATTTGCATTAGGTAGAGCAGGCCAGGGTGTACTCGAAGCCGTTTTGTGCTTGGAGCTCTGAAGCGTGCTATTATTTGGGGCAGGAAACTGTCAAGTGCTAGCGACTTCTCGCATTTTGCTCAGAACATCCAAAAGGAGGTATGATTATTTAGTAAAGGGATAGCGGATGATCTTCTCTATGGGAAATTAACTTTCTGGCTGGTTCCCATGGAAACCTGGGAGCTGGGGCATCATCCGTGTTGCTAGGCAACAGGAGCAGGGCATCATGGGGAAGGGAGAGCGGCTGTTACTGTGATTACTCTCACCATCGTTAGTATTGTTAATAATTATTATAATCCTTGTCTGTCCACCCACCCCACCCTCAGCTCTGGTTTTTGTGACTCTGTATCATCCTCTCACTGATATCCCCATCTTTTTTTGTTTTTGGTGGTACTTGTATTTGAGCTCAGGGCCTTTCACTTGCTAGACAGGCACTCTACCACTTGTGACATGCCTGCAGCCCCTTTTTGCTTTAGTTATTTTTTGGATAGGGTCTCGTGTTTATGCCCCAAATGGCCTGGACCTCAATCTTATTTATACTTCCTCTGAGGATGAGATGACAGGTGTGGTACACCACACCCAGCTTCTTTTTGGTTAAGATGGGGGTCTTGCTAACTTTTTGCCAGGACTGTCCTTAAATTGCAATCTTCCCCATTACAAGAATGAGTCACCATGCCCAGCCGATGTCTCCGTCTTGATTTTTTTTGTTGGTTTTTTTTTAGTTGCATGGGGTTTGAACTCAGGACCTCGAGCTTGCTAGGCAGGTGTTCTAGCACTTGCCACTCCACCAGCCCTATTGTTGTTTTTTGCCATGTAGCTGAGCTTGCCTAGAAGTCGCTATGTAGCCTAAGAGGGCCTCAAACTCACAATCCTCCTACCTCATCCTCCCAAGTACTGGGATTATAGGCATTCACCACCATGTCTGGCTCCCATCTTAATTTTTGTTTCCCAATTATTTAATTCCTTTTTTTTGGGAGGAAGGAGTTGTGGTACTAGGGTTTGAACTCAGGGCTTTGCACTTGCAAGCAGGTGTTCCACTACTTGAGCCATTCCACCAGTCCTTTTTTGTGATAGGTTTTTCAGAGATAGGGTCTTGTGAACCACTTGCCTGGGCTGGCTTCAAACCACTATCCTCATGCTCTCTGCCTCCTGAGTAGCTGGGATTACAGTTGTGAGTTCCAACACCCAGCTTCCTCCTCTTTTAATAATCCTTGCCAAACCTTCAGTGGTTTCCTAGACCTCCTCGTCATGGCCTCCAAGTTCCTACCTGATGTGGCTCTGCCCGTTTCTCACCACTCTCCCCCATTTCACTCTGCTCAGCCACTGAGGCATGGGTTCTCTAACACCCCACACTTGTTCCTGCCGCAGGCCCTTTGTACTTGCTGATCCTCCACCTGGAGCATCCTTCCCGCAGTCTTCCCTGGGCACCTCATCCTTTGGGCCTTAGGTCAATGTCCAGAAGCTATCCCTGCTCTTCCAGCTGGTCAAGCACCCTGTTCTCGTCCTGCACAGAATTATCTGATGATAAGGCCATTACAGGACCTCTTACGCAGTCCCTGTCATGTAAGCGCCTTGCAAAGCTTGGCCCTGGATGACTCACCTGCTTGTCCCAAATGCTGGGACATCAGCTGGAGGAGTAAGAGCGAAGCGAGGCCAGGGGCTTGGCTCTCATCTCTCTTGTGTCAAGTAATAACAACACTTCCCGGTGCCCAGAGTTTCTAGTGATTTAAATAGGCCTGCAGAGTGCCGTGAATAGGTGTCTCTGGGGACCAGGATCTCCCGGGCTTGGTTCCAACACCCCGAGGACACTGATATCCAAGGATGCCCAAGTCCCTTGTGTGAAATGGTGTTGTGTTTGCACAGGACCAGTGATCATCCTCCTGCATGCTTTCAAATAACCTCCAGTGCCGGTAGTGCTGGTGCTTGCCAGTAATCCCAGCACTTGGGAAGCTGAGGCAGAAGAGTTGTGACTTCTGGGTCAGCCTAGGCTACACAGCAAGACCCTATCTCAAATAAAAAAGGATGTAATAAATAAGTAAGTAAGCAAATAAGTCACTCTAGATGTTCTCAATACCTGATACAATTGGATTGCTGTGTCAATGGCCACTCTACTCTAGAGTCTAGCATACAACGTCAGGAAAAAGAAGTCTGTACACATTCAGTACAGATGCAATTTCTGTACTGAATTCTGTTTGGTTTTTTTGCTCTTATTTTGGCAGTTACTGGGGTTTGAACTCAGGGCCTTCACACTTGGCCAGGCAGATGCTCTACCGCTTGAGCCACTCTTGTCAGTCCTTGTTTGTTTTTTGAGGCAGCATCTCGCTGTGTGAACAGGCTAGCCTTGAACTCACTCTGTAGCCTAGGCTGGCCTTGAACTCATGATCCTCGGATCTCAGCCTCCCAAGTGCTGGGAAGACAGATGCCACCCCCCATGTCTGGCTTTTGACTTTCCTTGAATATTTTGGGCCCACAGTGTGTTGAGTCTGGGCAGAAGCCCATGGGCACACAGGGCCACCTGTGAGCTGTTAGGCACACAATAAGCTTTTGCTAAATGCTGGCTAATTTAAGAAATCTTTTTATTATTGCAAAAGTCATAAAATCACACCAAATAATCGTACAACGTTTTATATGGAAGCACACTGGTGTCAAGAGATAGAGCTGGCAGCCACCCTGGAAGCCCCCCACATGCCCTCAACAACACTGCTTGTCTATACCTGAGATTACCGGCCCCTCCGCAAGTTTTACAGTGGTGTCTTGTCCACACTTCTTCTTAATTTATTTCTTTGGTGGGACTGGGGTTTGAACTCAGAGCGTCACACTTACAAAGCAGTGCTCTACCTCTTGAGCCACACACAGTCCATTTTGCTCTGGTTATTTTGGAGATGGGGGTCTCCAGAACTATTTGCTCAGGCTGACCTCAAACTGTAATCCTTCAGATCTCAGCCTCCCAAGTAGCTAAGGTTACAGGCGTGAGCCACCGACACCCGGCTTCCCACATTTCTTTAAAGTTCTTCAGTAAAGCGTCCATGCTGAAACACTGTCATTTTGCCTGTGTGTGTGGTGTGTGTACATGTGTTTGTATGTGTGTGTTGTGTTTATGTGTGTGTACTGTATGTGTGCTGTGTGTATGTGGTGTGGTGTGTATACATGTAGCTTCTGTGTCTCCTTTAATCTACAGGTTTCCTTTCTTTTCTTTTCTCTTTATTTTGGTGCTGGAGATGAACCCAGAGCCTCGCCCATGCTAAGCTCTGCTCTACTACTGAGCTGCACCCAGCCCAGCTTTGTTGAGATATAATTCATGCATCATACAATTCCTTCACGTAACGCGTACAGTTCTCTGTATTCTATGTCATGGCTTTTGGTGTTGGGGATGTCTGGAGCCCAGGGCTTCACGCATGCTAGGCAAGCGTTCCCCCCTGAGCTGTACCCAAGCCCAGGTCTACGTATTTTAGTATACTTGCAGACTTTGACAGTCTCTGCTCTACCCTGTGCCTCTGTGTTAATTGGCGTACTCAAGATACTTCAGGTAAGTGGGATCACGCCCTGTGTGGTGCCACACAGCTGCTGGCTTCGTTCACTGAGCACCAAGTTGGCAGTAGGATTTTGTTTTTGTGTTTCAAGACAAGGTCTGGCTATGTAGCTCATCCTGGTCTTGAACTCACAGTCTCCTTATCATAGCCTCCTGAGTGCTGGGATTACAGGCATGCCCCATCACACCTGCCTCAGACAGTCTGATTTTTTAAATGAAATGTATTACCTTGAGTGTTTGATTTCCTGTCTGGGTCAATGTTTGACACTAGGAGTTTTGATCTGTGACAATTAGGTGGTAGTTGACAATGCCCTGCCTTTCTGTTGAGACAGAATAACCTCTCCTGAGGGCACAGGTCTGTGTTTGTCAGTTTCCATTTCTGACCCAAACAACTTAAAGGAGGAAGATTTGGCTTACATTTTTCAGAGGTGTCAGTCCACGGTCAATTGGTTCCACGGTCAATTGGTTCCACTGATTCTGGGCCTGGACGGGACAGGTGAAGCAGGGTATCATAGAGGAAGGGCCAAGGAAAGCTGCTACCTCATGGTGGCCAGGAAGCCATGAGAATGAACCGGGAAGAGATACACCCTTCTGGGGGCATGACCCCAGTGACCTCCTTCCTCCAACCATACCCACCACTTCTCAGTAATGCCTCAAGTCATGACTCGTCAGTAGACGAATCCACTGATGTAGCCCTCATGATCCAGTCACGTCCCAAAAGCCTTTACCAGTGAGTCTTCAGGAGGCTGGGGGGTGGCTCAAGTGGTAGAGTACCTGCCTAGCAAGCAGAAGATCCTGAGTTCAAACCCCACTACACCCCCTCCCCGCAAAACCAAAATCAAACAAATAACACAAAGCAAAACAGGCCTTCTGTTTTTTCAGGGATCCATTGGTCTCCAGAGGACCGGAAGCCTGTCCCGAAAAAGGGGAGAGAGGACAAGCCAGAGGGGCTCCCCCCGACCTCTGTCCCTCCATTGTCCAGGTGAGGACCCCACCCATTCCTCTCTTAACCCCGTTTCCAATTGCACCTGTTCTGAAGCAGAGGATGGAGGAGGAGGTGCTGATGTCTTCGGGGGAGGAGGTGGCACTGGGGCAAGGTAGCGATCCGGCCTCCTGACTCCCACTTCCCCAGGACCCCTGGAGACCTCGGCTCTCGTGCCAGCAGTGGGGGCCTCTGGAAGACACCCTCTCTATCAGCTGCTGAACTGTGGCCCTGGGAATAGGTGAGGCATCAGGAAGCGGGGAGGGAGAGGAGAGGAGGGGACGAACTGTTGGGACCCAACGGTCTCTGTTCCCTGTCTCAGCAGCGCAGCCCTCCACCCAGACATTGCACACATGGAGCGGCTGCTACAGCAGGCAGTGGCAGAGAGGGAGCGGCTGCTCAAGGCCAGGGTGAGGCCCCACCCTCCACAGGGACGGTGACCTGACCTCAGTCCCCTCCTCTAGATCCGTGTCCAGGCCCCAGCCTCCTTCCTTAGGTCTAAGGGTTGGGCCCAGCTTTCTTCCTTAGGGACAGGAGACCCTACCTCAGTCTCCCCTTTTCTCGGACCCAGGGATCCAGGCCCCAGCTTCCTCCCTCAGACCCAGGGGTCCCTCTCTCTCTCCCTGGTTATGGGTTGGGGTCCTCACTGATCCCTTCATCCTGAATTCACAGGAAGGGACCAGAAGAAGCCCAGACTGCTCCTCAGGCCCTGTTGTTCCTGCCATCACGGTCAGTGCCACAAGCCCTCTCTGCTCGTAATCACCTCTCCCCTTTGCCCTTGGAGTTCAGTCTTTCCCCGTCCTCCAGTGCAATAGAAAAGGGGCCTCCGTTGGCAAAAGTTCCTAGTTCCCATCTCAGTCATCTGGATCACAGCTTAGCCCTGGCCAAGTTGTTCCAGTTCTTTGTTTTTGGCTTTTTTTTTTTTTTTTTTTTTTGTGCTAGGGATCAAACCAGGACCTCATGTGCTGAGTACAAGCTCTACCATTGAGCTAAACCACCAGCCTCCTCTTCTTTGTCCCTCAGTTTCCCCTTATGTACACTAGTGACAATGTCAGCAGTTATTGCAGAACGAGGGCAAGTTTGTGCTGAGACTTTAAAAATCTTAACATTTTTTTTTATTCAAGTGGGGTGTGGTGGTGCCTGCCTGTAATCCCAGAATTTGGGAGACTGAAGCAGGAGGATTGAGAGTTTGATGCCAGTCTGGGCTACAAAGTGAGTCCTTATCGATAAAAAAGAATGTGCTGCGGGCTCACACCTGTAATCTTAGCTACTCAGGAGGTAGAGATCAGGAGGATTGAGGTTCGAAGCCAGCCCCAGCAAGTAGTTCCAGAGACCCTATCTTGAAAAAAACCTTTCACAAAAGAGGACTGGTGGAGTGACTCAAGGTGTAGGCCCTGAGTTCAAACTCCAGTACCACAAAAAAAAGGAGGTCAGTGACAGAACATTTGCCTAGCATGTCTGAGGCCCTGGGTTCCATCCCCAGTACCTCATTTTAAAAAAAGCCAAGCACAGTGGCTCATACCTGTAATCCTAGCTACTCAGGAGGCAGAGACAGAAGGATCGCAGTTCAAGGACAGCCCAGGCAAAATAGTTTTAGAGACCCTATCTCGAAAAACCCCTCACAAAAAAGGGCTGGTGGAGTGGCTCAAGTGGCAGAGCACCTGCCTTGCAAGCGTGAGGCCCTGAGTTCAAACCCCAGTGTTGCCAAAATAAATAAATAAATAAAAAAGAAAGTAAATAAAATAATGGCCAACAGATGCTGACTGGAGCCAGGGAGCTCAGGAAAGTAGCGGGCTGTGGAACCTTCTGTGTTGTCAGGCATAGGCCCAACCTCATTAAAATTGAATACTCATCCTTTGAAGCAGTTTGCCTCACTTTCTAGCATCATCATTTATTAAACAGTCCTCTCTTGTGGGTGTTGTCCCCCACCCATCCCCACCCTGACTCTTGTGCCTGCAAGCAAGCACATCCCTGGGATCCGGGCCTAGAAGTGGGTGGCGGGGAGGAGTGTGCCATGACAGCCTGTGTTTCAGCACAGGGGACTGAGGCCCCCAGGGGCCGCATGCGCTGGTGAGCTGAGAGTCCCAGGGCCAGCTGTGCCGTCCCAGATTGGGGCTCGGCTCTGCCATGTCCCAACCGAGGGGACTTTAGTGAGTCGTTCTCTTTCTGGAAGCCTCAGGGTCCTCAGTTGTCAAATGGGGAATTTGGAGAGGAAATGGGGGGGGGCGATCGTTGTGGTCACCTGGCACAGTGCCTGACACATGGTGAGTGCCTCCATACTCAGTGATGACCCTTAGAATTACTGTGCAGATCTGGTGAGGTGACCCATAGAAGATTCCAGCATGGTGTATGACCCATTTTTTACTTTTGCTTGGTGGTATTTTTTTTTTTCTTTTTTTTGGTGGCGCTGAGGTTGGAACTCACAGCCTCACACCTGCTGGGAAGGAGCTCTTACCACTTGAGCCACTCTGCCAGCCCCTTTTCATTTTATTTTTTTGGTGGTACTGGGGTTTGAACTCATGGCTTTGCACTTGCTAGGTAGGCACTCTACTGATTGAGCCACACCCCCGGCTCTTTTGCTTTTAGGGTTTTTTTTGTTATTTTTCTTTCAGACAGGGCCTTGCCTTTTTGCCTGGGCTGGCCTTGGATTGCAATCCTCCTACCTCCACCTCCTGAGTGACTGGAATTAAAGGTGTGCACCACCAGGCCCCACCCAGTGGGTGCTGTTTGAACCCAGCCTCCCCTCCTGTGCAGCAGGTCCTCCACCATCCTTCCCCTTCCTTGTGTCCCCTGACTCTTAACCAATACATTTCATCTCTCTCTCAGCACTTCTTGCTTGGGTCACCCTTCAGTTTTCCAAACTCCTATACTCAAAGCATCCGGGTCCTGCTTGTTTATTTATTTTTGGAGGGACTGAGGTCTCAACTCAGGACTTCACTCCTGCAAAGCAGGTGCTCTGCCAGTTGAGCCACCCCTCCAGTCCATTTTGCTCTGGTTATTTTGGAGATGGGATTTCTCGAATTATTTGCCCAAATCATGATTCTCCCAATCTTTGCCTCCCAAGTAACTAGGATTACAGGCGTGAGCCACCAGCGCCTGGCTTCTAGGTGCTTGTTGGGACCTCAGCTCCCCTCCTGTCCCCCACCCTGACATGACACAGCCTGTCATGTCAGAGATTGTTAAAATCTCTGCAGGGGGTCTGCTTGCACAAAGAGGTGGGAGATATACCACCATGAGCCTCCATTTTTTTTGTTTTTTGCTGGGGCTGAGGTTTGAACTCAGGGCCTCGTGCTTGCTAGGCAGGCACTCTACCACTTAGTCCAGCCCCTTGCCTCTTTTGCTTTGTTATTTTTCCAACAGGGTCTCGAATTTATGCCTGGGTTGGTTGAGATAGGGTCTTACTAACTTTTGCTGAGGCTGGCCTGGAACCATGATCATCCTGAGTAGCTGGGATTATAAGCATGAGTGACTGTACCCAGCCCTGAGTCTCACTTTGACCTTGGCAGTCACATCATCCTTTGAAGAACAGGATGTGATCATGCCATCTCATGGTTGGGGCTCTCATAGACAGCCTTAAGTCTTCTGCCCTGGCCTTTGTGACCACTCAAGATGATTGCTTTGCCTCATGAGTCTTGGCTTGGTCAGCTTTGGCTGTGTGACTCAGGTCTAGTGACTTAACCTCTCTAAGTCTTGGTTTCCACATGTGTAAAATTAGGATAAATGTAGTTACCCCCCAGTTTGAGTGGGCAGAGATTATGCCTAGGAAGTGCTTAGTATAGGATAATAATCTCTAATTTCACCACAGAGAGTAACAACAATAGGACTGGAAGCAGTGGCTCATATCTGTAATCCCAGATACTCTGAAGGTAGAAATTAAGAGGATTGTGGTTCCAGGCCAACTTGGGCAAATAATTAGAGAGACCCCATCTCAACAAACAGATGTGGTGGTGTGCATCTGTTATCCCAGCTACTAAGGAGGCATAGTTAGGAGGGTTATGGTCCTAGGTGGGCCAAGCAAAAAGCATGAGACCCTACCTGAAAAATAAGTAAAGCAAAACAGATCTAGGGGTGCTGCTCACATGGTAGGCACCTAGTAAGTCTAAGCCTTGAGTTCAAACCCCAGAACCACAAAAAACATAACAGTGATGGAGTGAACGATGTCCTCTTTCATCCATAACTTACTACTTGGTTCTGGTTTTGTTTGTATGTTTTGTTTTGTATTTTTTTTTAGACAGGGTCTTGCTATGTAGCATGGGTTGGCCTTGAACTTACAATCCTCCTGCCTCCACTTCCTGAGTGCTGGGATTATAGATATGCACCACCACTCTGGGCTAAGGTCCTGTTTTTACAGAGGCAACACTGAGGGCCCCACTTTGGGGAGCCTGACCCAGGGGCTCTCCATCTCATACACATCTGGGGCTTTAGGGGAGCTCCGGGTCAGGAATTCTTGGGTTTGTCTCCCAGTGCTTCCACCTGTGACTCAGGTGGATTATTCTGTGTCATGGCACCTCAATTTGCTCATCTGTAAAATGGGGCACATAGAAGCCTGGTCCCAAGGGCTCACAGGGCCCTGAACAGAGTGTCAGAGTCAATCAGTGGGGCCGTTGGGGTCATTTTCATGTTGGCCGTGGTTAATGTCATGGTGTGAAGGTTGTAGCAGACCTTCCATGGGAGGTGCTGGAACTGGGAACCCCCAGGGCTCCAAATCAGCTGCCCCTTCTCTGCGCTCCGCAGGCCCCACCCGCGCCCCCACCGCGCCCCCCAGGACCCCGCGTCCTGGACCTCCGGCAGCACCTGGAACGCTGGGGCCACAACCCCGAAAGCTGCCCGCACTTGCGGGTGTTGGGGGGCTGCTGCCGCGGGCCCCTGGTGAAGATGGGCGGCCGCATCAAGACCTGGAGGAAGCGGTGGTTCTGCTTCGACCGCCAGGCCGCCGCCTGGCCTACTACGCGGGTGAGCCCAGCCCCGCACCCCGTCCCGTGCCTTCCCTGGTTCTGGCGCCTGGGAAGCCCAGGCCCCAGCACTGCTCCGTCAGGGCTCAGGAGTACAGACCCCCACTTCCGTGCCACCCAGGATCCAAAAGTTGGGGCCCCTGGCTCCTTCCTGCCTATACCCAGTAGTCTGGGCTCCAGGCTCCTCTTCTGCAGGCCTCACCCCGAAGTCTTCTCAGCAACGCAGAGGACACTTTGCACACTTCTGCCTTCAGGGTCATTTTCCTAAGATGCCTGGTAGTCAGGGCCTTCTGCACCCCACTGCCAGGAGCTCAGGACACCTGTCCCTCCCAAGAGGAATTGGGGGTGCCCAAGCTCTCCTTGCCTTCCTCCTCTTCTCAGGAGACCTAGAACTTCAGCTCCACACCTGCCCCCAGCCTTGTGATATCTCCACACCTGATCCCCCATCTAGCAATGGGTGACCACTCTACTCCCAGCCATGGGACCTTCAGATTGTCACCATGTACTCCCCCACCCAGTCTCAGACTTGGGTTCAACGACCCCGGCCCAACACACACAGACACACTCATCTCTCACTGGCTCTCTCCCTCCCCTTTCTCCACCAGACAAGGAAGAGACCAAGCTCAAAGGTGTCATCTACTTCCAGGCCATTGAGGAAGTCTACTATGACCACTTGCGCTGTGCCTTCAAGGTGAATTGCCAGCAATCAGTGCCACCCACCCCAGCACGGAACCCCTGCAGTCAAGCTCACCCTGGGCAAAGCCACTCACAGTCCATACGCCAGGGTGCCCACTGGCAGCACAGAGGAGCCACAGCTCACAACAGTGCAGGGGCCAGAAATGAAGAGCTCAGCCTCTTGCTCTCAGCTGCTGCTGATTTTCTCAGTCAAAAGTTTTCAAGGAAAAATTGGGGACATTTGGCCTGGGGTATAGTGCAGTGGGAGAGTGGGTGTTTAGTGTGCATGAGGTGCACACACACACACACAGTGGGGATAAGTGAAGGAGGAGGGCAGAGGCAGCCTGGGACCATCTACACAAGATGGTCCTTGCTTGGCTTCTGCCCATAGGTGTCACAAGGGTACGAGCCCCATACTGTCAATTTTTTTTTTCTTAAATCCGGTACTGTGTCTTGAAGCCTGTTGGGTAAGCACTCTACCACTTGAGCCATGGGCCTTGTTTTGAGATAGGGTCTCCTCCACCTGTAGAGTAGCTGGGATTATAGATGTGAACCACCACACCCAGCCTCAAGTTGATTTTTCTGTTATAAATAAGTGCAGTGCCAGAAATTTAAATGACAGCAAACACAATGTTGGCTCTTCTCTGTGGAGAGCCATCCATGGCTTTCTGAAGCTTAAATTGGAATTCCAGTTATATGGTATCTGGAGAGTGACTTCCCTTCTCCAGGCTCAGGTTTCCCATCTGCAAAATGGGCACACCTGGTCCCATTCCCTCTGGGTTAAAAACATAATGGATATGAAGGATTTATACAACTTGAAGTTGGCAGGTGCTCACTAAACGGATTCTAGGTACTAACTTTCCCCAGTTGCAAACCAGGGGGGACCTAGATTTTTGGGGAGGTGGAATTTAAATGTCTGTATTTCTAGTATAGAGGATAAGGCCATAGGTCCTCTTTTTAAATTACTTTTGTTCCCAGTTTAATAATGACACTCTGCATAAACACTTTCATATAATCCTAATAACCCTTTGAGGTGGGGTCGATGGGGGCAACTGAGGTCCAGAGAATCTTAATTTGCCCTGTGTCACAAGTCGCAGGGTAGGGATTCGAATTCAGGTCTGCTGTCCTAACCACGCTGTTCCCTGCTCGTTGCAGAGCCCCAGCCCCCGCCTGACGTTCTGCGTCAAAACCTACGAACGCCTTTTCTACATGGTGGCCCCGAGCCCCGAAGCCATGCGGATTTGGATGGACGTCATCGTGACTGCCGCAGATGAGAACCACGCCCCCTGAGTGGCCCCGCCCGCCCGTGGGACGTCCAGACGAGGCCCCGCCCCCCGCGTACACGCACGCACGCGGCGGCGATTCGGGGCCACGCCCACTGCCGGAACTTGGCCCCGCCCCTTTGGAAGTCTCCCGGGAATTGTAGCGCTGCAGCTCAGCTGGCCTGAGCCGCTCGGTTCTGGGTTGTTTGCTGGTGGCTTCCCGGCGACAGGATCGCCAGGCCCTGGGGCCCTGCCTGGGGCAGGAGGGAGATCGAGGGGGCGGAAGGAACTATTTATTGGTGCTCCTGTGATAGCGAATTAAACACGGTGGAAAAACAGGGTGCTGCTGTGGTCTGCATCCCAGGCGCGGGGCCCTCAGGCCCTAGGCAGGACCTCGGGTTATGGGCACCTGAACCAAGCGCCCCATGCAAAGATGGTGACCTTCAAGCCAAAGGGCATGGCTGCAAGAAGAGGGCGGGGAGAATGTGTCCTTAGTCTTGCGATTTTCTTTGTAGGTTTGTCTGTTTCCATCTTTTTTGGCCTGACTGGCTATTGTCAATTATTAGGAAATTCGGGGCTTCCTCCCTCCAAGCTCTTGCACGTTTTCCCCCTCTCTCTTCCCCGTAGTCACGTCAGCTAGCTCCCCATGTAGCCCAGGCTGGCCTTGAAATCGCGATCCTCCTGCCTCCGCCCCCCAGGGCTGGGATCAGAGGCGTGTGCCACCATGCTGGGTGCCAGGCATCTCCTTTTGTGCTCTCCTGAACACCCTGCTTATCACTGGTGATAAATCTGTTTCCCTTATGGACTGGGAACTCCGTGACAAAACCAGGGCTGCTCTGGTAACCTCTGTGTCCTCAGTACCCCAGGGCAAGTCTCATTCTATGAAAGTGAAAAAAAAAATATCCCTACCACCTTCTGCGCAATGATGGTACTGTTTGTTTGTTTGTTTAGACACTTCACACTCCACCCAACTCCTGCTCATTACTTAGGTCTCAGCCCCTGTGTTATGTTAATCCTCCCAGATTGCCCTCTTTTCTTTGGGTTTCCCCTCCTAGCTCTGACCGCTGTGTCAGTGCCTCCCCATCACCACCTGACCTCTAGGCTCAGGCTTCTCCCATTACCATCGTCCCTACTGCTGATGGTCTGTCCCCCTCTGGCCTCCAGGAGGCAGGGACTGGGCTCATCTTGGCACACAAGGAAGGGCTTAGGTAGTGCAAACTAGGTGTCCAGAAGTTGTCTGATGGCAAAATAAATTAGCTAAAAAGTGTTACTGAGGACTGGGGACAGTTGGGAACAAGGCCAACTTCTGCTGACTTCTGTCAGGGAAGGGTGTCCCTTCTAAAGAAGCTGTCCCTGGTTCCAAGCCATGGTCACCTAGACCTCGGCCCCTTTGCACACCTCCAGGTGGGAAACTTCTGGATTCCTTGTCAGTTTATCTCTCATCCTCTGCAAACCAGACCCTTCCTGATGCCACTTCCCAGGCCTGAGGTCACTGTAGCAGAGAGGTCCCCATGCTCAGAAGAGCCCTGCCCTTGGGTTTAGTACTCTGTGGCCACCATCTGCAAATTCTTTGAATTTGTGTTTTGAGAGTGAAGCAGGGTGGGACTTTGGAGAGAGAGAGTGGGGACTGGAGCCTCAGGTCACAGGAGGTCCCGCTGCCTTCCAACTCCTTGGGACAGGTCCTGTCTCCCTTCTCTTCCTGTTCTGGCCCTGTGATCACTGCCACCCTTCACCACTGGCAGAGGCAGGAAGATCATGGTGGGCACTTATGCCTCCTGGCATTTTGAGGTGGAGCTGGGCAGTGGTGGGGAGGGGAACCCACAACCAGCTAGCCTCTATGAGCGGCTATAGTGGCCCCACAAGTTTCCCTGTGTCCAAGGGGACATGGCAGTAGACATGAGGAGTTACGAGAGAGATCTAGGCTTTCATGTTTCGGTGCATTTAACGAAACCCTGCTGCCTTTTGTACCAAATCTATCACTTTTATTTTGCCCTCGAGTTACGTGACACTCTTCCCTGATCCATCCCAGACAGTGTGTCCCAGGGCGAGTGGAGCTGAGGCTCAGCACCCGCCCTGCCCCAGGGGACAGGAAACCCATGGTGGCTGTGGCCCCATGCTTGTCTAAGGCCTGGGTTTGACCGCCAGCGCTGGGGACTGGCACTGACTGCTGCGTGCGCCCTCTCCAGCTCTTTAACCACCATTTTCTAGAATGTGTGCAGTGAAGCCAGTGGGCAGGTAGCAAGCCATAGTGGAAGCAGGACATTAAACCTTCCTCTGGGACTGGGGGTGCTGGCCTTCCTGCCTAAAATGCTTGAGACTCTGGGTTCCATTGCCAGCACTGCAAAAATCAGTAAATAAATAAATCACAAATAAAAACTCCCTCTGTTCTTTGGTCCCAGGCCAGGTGCAGGTCAGCAACCTAGAATCCAGGCAGGCCTGAGCAAGAGGAGGCTCCCCACCCTCGGTCCCACTCCCGCCCAAGATGCTAGTTCTTCCAGTCTGGCCAGTTAAGGTTCCTCCCTGAAACTCTCCCACGCCACCGGGGCTCCCAAGACACAATAATAGTATCACTGTCTACCACTCACTAGGTCCCATCCTCCTGGAAGTGGGGATGTTCAGACCCGTTTGGCAAAAGAGGCAGTTGAGGTTCAGAGAGGGAGGTCAAGTTGTGTGGGGTCACACAGCAAAATAGGTGGCAGAGGCAAGATTAAACTTTCAATCTGTTCAATTCCAGGCTTCGCACTTTGCCCGCTGCCTCACTTTATCCTGACAGACGCCCTTTATTTATTATAAAAGGAATCTGAAGCCATCTCTGGTCGTGCACACCTATAATCCCAACACTCAGGAGGCTGAAGCAGGAGGATTGAGAGTTCAAGGCCAGTCTGGGCTACATAGTGAGTTCCAGGTCAGCTTGGGTTACATAGCTTTGTCCCCAAACCAAACAGTAGTAATAAAGTAGATCTTGGAGTCTCAGAGAGGTGAAGACACTTATTCAGGGTCACAAAGAATCAGGGCTGGGATTCCAAGGTGGAGGCAGGGAGGCAGGAGGTAGTGTCAAATGACTTCTTGTGAAGTCATTCACTTTCTCTCTGAGCCTCTGCAGGATGACAAGAGACCCAACCTAGGTGACTGAGTGCTTGTCACCCTTGGGAACTGGGGTGCCTGTCAGAGTCTAGGGAACAGAGCACAGCCGCTATTTCTCTGCCACCTGGAGCCAGCCAGCAGAGCTGACCACAGCTTTTCCTCCCGTGTGAACTTGAACGACTTATTGTCCTCTCTGGGTCTCAGTTTCCCACTCTGTGAAATGGGAGTTCCTCTCTACCCATTTGTTAAGAATTCAAGAAGAAATTGCTACCAAGCACCAGTGGCTCACGCCTGTAATCCTAGCCCCTCAGGCAGAGATCAGGAGGATTGAGGTTTGAAGCAAGCCCAGGGAACTCGTTCTTGAGACCCTATCTTGAAAATATCCCAACACAAAAAAGGGCTGATGGAGTGGCTCAAGTGGTAGAGCACCTTCCTGGTAAGCATGAGACCCCAGTACAAGAAAAGATTTCCATTTTACAGATGAAAACACTGAGGCTCACAGAGGCAAAGTGATGCTGGAGTTTTATGCCTGGTACACAGAAAACCCATCCCACATTGCTTCTCAAGCCACACTTCCTAGCTGTGTGACCTTGGACAAATTGTTCAGCCTCTCTCTGCCTCCATTTTTCCGTGTGTAAACTGGCTATCCATTATTATCATTTTTTTAAATTTTATTTTGTGGTGCTAGGGATGGAGCCCAGGGCCTTGCACTTGCTAGGCAAAGTGCTCTACCAGTGAGCTGCACCCCCGGTCCTAAATGAGCTGTCTTTTAAACTGCTCACAGGGTTGTCATGTGTAAAAGGTGTGAAATGGTGTCCAGAGGCTGAATATATGCTTTTTGCCATCGTTTCTGGACATTGAGGAATGGGAGCCACTTGCCCAAGGTCACACAACAAATCAGTGGCAGACCCAAGTTTGACTGGCTGGAAAATGAAAGGTCATTGCAAAAACATATCTTAGGTTTGAAACCAGACCCTGACCCTAACAAGTAGCATAAGGCCTTTGGAGACAGCCCTGGATTCAAGCCCCTCTTCTGTCACTCCTTAACCTCCCCAAGCTCACTCTCCAATCTCACTTCTCACTGAGAGGGCTCAGTCCTCTCTTTCAGAGCTGTCATGATGGTCAGAGAGGATTCATAGAAAGTGCTGAGCACAGACGGGAGTGGGTGGTGCGCACTTGTAATCCCAGAACTTGGGAGATGAAGGCAGGAGGACTGGGAGTTTGTGGCCAGCCTGGGCTATATAGAAGACTCTGTCTCAAAACAAAAACAAAACAAAACATTTTTTTAAAACATGAAAAGAAAGAGTCAAAAGCACTGACCAGGAGGTCAATAAAACTAACAGCCATTCTTAGTCTTTAAGGTGAGGGTGGAGCGAGCAGTGTGTGTTCCGAACAGCTTCTGGCCCATAGCAAGCACTGGACACTTGTCGTTATTGTTGGTGTCATTATTCTTGTAATTATTACTGTCCTGATACAGTTACAGCAAGAATGATCTGAATCAGGAGGATGGTGGTTCAAAGCCAGCCTGGTCAAATAGTTCTTCAGACCCCATCTTCAAAATAACCAGAGTAAAATAGACTGGAGGTGTGGCTCAAGTGGTAGAGCACCTGCTTTGCAAGCGCAAAGTCCTGAGTTCAAGCCCCGGTCCACCAAAAAAAGAACAATTTGAAAATGCTCTTGGAAACCTCCCACTGTCTCCCCATCAACCAACCTCCCTCTCTCCTTCCTTCCTTCCTTTCTTTTTTTTTGCTGGGTATGGAACCCAGGGCCTCACGCAAGGGTTCCAGGCAAGCTCTCTACCACTGAGCTATGTCCCCAACCTTCCCTCCCGCTTAATCCATTGAAAACCTCTGCCAGTTCTTTCTCCTAAAATACTTTGGATCTTTTTGCAGGGAGGAGACAGCATCCCTTGTAGCTGGGACGACAGGTGTATGCCACCACACCTGGCTTACTGTTGAGATAGGGGACTTGTCAACTTTTTACTGACTCCTGATCTCCTATTCTGAAGTAGCTGGGATTATAGGTATGAGCCGCCAGGCCCAGCTAGCAAGGACTTTTTTAAGATTTGGATACCTGTGTGGGACAATACAAGGAAGAGGAGCTTTGTTGTGCATTGATCATGGTCACAAAGTGGGGGTGATGCTAGGATTGGGTATTTATATAAATCTTATTTATGAGGCAGGAGAAACAAAGCAAGGTTACTTATAACATGGTCATATCACCGTAGAAAAGAAAGTCACAGGATATGAGGAGGCTTAGTCACTTTGTGGTTTGCATAATGATCAGACATGGTTGTGGAGTGGTCTCGATTTCATCTGGGTTGTTCACGACCACAACAAGACCTAAGTTGGTGTGGTGTGAAATTATTTACGTGCAGTAGAACTGCCTGGCTTCTTGGTGAGTGCCAGGCAGCTCCTGGCAGGCTGTTCTCTTTCACCTGGAAAACTCACTCCCCCAAGAGTGTCCTGGCCTGCTCTCACTCCTTCTTCCCTTCCCTCCCCTTGCCTCCCCTCCCCTCCCCTCCCCTCCCCTCCCCTCCCCTCCCCTCCCCTCCCCTTTCCATAGAGGCCAGAATGAGTATTTTCGCTTGTTTCTATTGAAGAATAGCACCTGTCCTGTGAGGTATGTAAGCTGCCTTAGTGATTCTGTTCACATTTGTATACACAGGGGCCTCCCCCGGATGGGGATAGTGGGGGGCTTCTCCCTATTGTTCCTTTGGGGCAATGTGCTTGGTTTGTCTCTTCCTGAAATAGTTCATAGCAATCTCTCTTCTCTCTCTCTTTCTCTCCCTACTGAGCCCCAGCCCCAGCCCTCCATCCCCCTTCTTCCTAGACATTTCCCACTATTTCCCTTATTGAAAAGCAAATCTGGCTGGGTGCTGGTGCCTCACACCTGTAACCCTAGCTACTCAGGGGGCAGAGATCAGGAGGATCAAAGTTCAAAGCCACCCCGGGCAAACAGTTCAGGAAACCCTATTTCAAAAAAAAAAAAAAATCACAAAAAAGGGCTGGTGGAGTGGCTCAGTACCTTTTTTAAAAGAAAAAAGAAAAAGAAAGAAAAGAAAATGTGGCCATGTCCCCAGCTGGCGTAGGGCCACCTTTCTCAAAACTACAAATAGCTTCCTGGCTCGTCTTCCCTCCTCTCATCAACTCTTCCTGACCCTCTGCACTCCAGACCCTCTGTGCCCCTCTGTGTTGAAGTGGTCCCTGGCTCTTCCCAGCTGTGTTCTCCTAAGGTGCTGTCCCATCCTGCCACATCCTTCTTGACTCCATCCCTCCTGGTAGCTCCCTACACTTCTCCCTCCATTTTCCTGGTCTCCTTGAAAATAACAGTTTGGTGATTATTTGATTCATATCTGTCTCCCCGTGAGACTAGGAGTTCTGTGAGGACAGGCACTGGTTCTGCCCTTGCTCTCTGGGATCACGCAGACCAAGGTGGGGGACACAGAACATGCTTTTTACATAGCCTCTGAGTGCCCACTGCCTCTCTAGGGTCCTGGTCCTCCCTCCGCCCCAAGTACACCCAGATGTTGTCCAGGGGACTGTCAGAGAATCAGTTCTCTTCCTGTCCTTGCTTGGCTGCTGCACAGGGCTGGGGCCGCTCTCCCTGAGCGTGACGCACCGAGGCGGGCCCGCCCCACAGCGGACGCTGACTTGGCCTGGTTGGGCAAGGCCAGGGTTGCCCGGGGGTAAGTTACTCATCCCAGGCTCAGGTAAGAGGGCCCCGATTGGGAGGCGGCACACCCAGGGGGGACGCGGAGAGAGCAGGACGCAGCCATGGGCCCCGCCAGGAAAACAGATGCCGGGGCGGTGATCTGGACCACGGCGTGGCTGCTGCTGCTGTCGCTACTGCTTCGTGAAGGTGGGTCTGCAGCCGGGAGGGGAGGGTGGGGGCTCTGAGGAAGGAGGGTCCCCAAACCCCTGCAAAGAGGGCTCTGGGGAGGATCTCCCGCCAAGAACAGAGAGGCTCAGTGGGGAAAGTCCTCCATCCTGAGGAAAGGTAGGCTTTTGGACTCCGGGCAGGATCCTCTTATCTTGACCAGTGGGGGTCGTGGGAAGCATCCGCTGTCCTGCTCAGAGGGGACTGTGGGAGGGGACAAACGTTCTCCCATCCCAAGCAGAGAACTGTGGGAAGATACTCCCTATCCTGAGATGAGGGGCTCTGTGGTAGGGACCACCTCCCCTGGGCATACAGAGCGGGAGGGGGAGAGTGCTCCCACCTCAGGTATAGGGAGGGGAGCGCGAAGGAAAAGGGTCCCTGGCATCCCACGCCCCCAGATTTGTGGAACAATATCTCCTAGTGCTGCCCTGAAAGCCGAAGTCCTGATTGTCTCATCCCTGGGACAGAGGGGCGGGAAGGACTGTTTCTCCTTTGGGGAAAGAGGCTTTAACAAGGACCGCTCAGTTCCACTCGGTCCCGCACCCCTAGGAGCGCAGGCCCTGGAATGTTACAGCTGCGTACAAAGGGCGGATAATGGATGCTCTCCGCACAAGATGAGGACGGTCAAGTGCCCGCCCGGCGTGGATGTCTGCACAGAGGCGGTGGGGGCAGTGGAGACCAGTGAGTGCGACTGAGTGGTCCCTGGATAACCCCAGGCTCCTCAAGCCCGCCTGACCTCTCCTACTCGTCCTTCTCTCTCTCTCTCTCTCTCCTCTTTTCTTCTTCCTATTCTTCTTTTTCCTCTTCTTCTTTCTTCTTCTTGGTGGTACTGGGGTTTGAACTCAGGGGTTCACGCATGCAAAGCAGGTGTTCTACCGCTTGAGCCACACCTCCAGTCCTTTTTGCTCTGGTTTTTTTTGGAGATGGGGGGGTCTTTCGAACTATTTGCGGGGGCTGGCCTCAAACCTCAATCCTCCTGATCTCAGCCTCCTGAGTAGCTAGGATTACAAGTGTGAGCCACTAGCACCGGGCATGGTCACATCTCTCCCTTTCAGCCTGATTCGAACCCTTCAGCACAGCCTCTCGGGTTCTTCTAGGGGCTTGGAGGGGTGGGAGGCTGAGAGTTGCCTCCTGGGTGGGTGGGCCGGGCTGGAAGAACAGGGTGTAACGAGGGAACATCCTATTACTCTCTCTGCCCCGTCACTGAGACCTCCTGATCCCTTTCGGTCCCTGCAGGAACCTCCCCTACCTACCCAGACTCCGTTGTCCGTTGGGGTTGCTGGTCGTGGAGATCCTCTAAGAGGGTTCCCCAGGCTCAGGTCTCTGCGGAATCCCGCCCCTACTCAGTCTGCTAAGAAGCCCCCTTTTCCGAGGCCACGCCCCCTGACCGCCTGCCTCTGATCCTGAGCTTTTTTTGTCGGTTTCTTGATTGCTTTCTGTGGCTCCGCCCTCTTTGTCCGTGCCCTGTCCTAGCTCCACTTTGATTCTTTTTTTTTCTTCTTTTTATTTTATTATTCATATTCCACTTTGATTCTGCCATGTGTTTGTCACTAGTCTGCCCCCTCAGACTCGTCTTTTTAAGGCTCCGCCCTTTATGACCCTGCCCCCCTTCCACCTGTCGCTCTCTCCACTCTGATCTGCTCTTTTTGAGGCCCGGGCCAGCCGCTCCCTGCTTGTCCCTCCCTGGTTGTCTATCCTCTGGACTGTTCATTTGAAGCCACGCCCATTCCAGACCACGCCCCTCGATGCCACGCCCATTCTGCCCTGCCCCTCTGATCCCCAACGCCTCCCTCTCCGCAGTACACGGGCAATTCTCAGTGGCAGTGCGGGGCTGCGGTTCGGGACTCCCCGGCAAGAATGACCGCGGACTGGACCTTCACGGGCTCCTGGCCTTCATCCAGCTGCAGCAGTGCGCCCAGGACCGGTGCAACGCCAAACTCAACCTCACCTCGCGAGGGCTCAATCCCGCAGGTCCGTGGGGCGGGGCGGGGCCACGTGTGGGGTCGGAGCTGGGCCACCGCAAGTCCAGGCGGAGCCCAGGTGGTGGCGGGAGTTTTTGGCTCGGGCTGCGGTGAGGTCAGGCTTCAAGGCAGGGGCAGGCATCACTGCAAGGTGGATGCAGTGGGCGGGGCCGCAGGGGATATGGCCACGCCCCAGGGGCGGGGATTCCCAGCCCTCTTTCCTCCTCCGCTCTTTCCTCGCAGGCAATGAGAGGGCAGCATCACCGCAAGGTGGATGCAGGGGGCGGGGCCATTAGCCAGGGGCGGGGCCTGCGGTCCCCGGCCCTCTTGACCCTCTGCTCTTCCTCCGCTCTTCCCTCGCAGGCAATGAGAGCGCGAACGAGCCCAATGGCGCCGAGTGCTACAGCTGCGTGGGGCTGAGCCACGAGAAGTGCCACGGCACAGCGCCGCCCGTCGTGAGCTGCTACAACGCAAGTGACCGCGTCTACAAGGGCTGCTTCGATGGCAACGTCACCTTGACGGCAGGTGAGCGACCCCGGACTCCGGACACACACACACGGCATCCCGCGGACTGTGCTTGTGCCCAGGGCCTTGTCACGTCCTAGAGCTTCATGAGAAAGGCAGCTCCATGACCCAGGTGGCTTGCAGTTAAGGAGACTTTTGTCCAGAGAGATCGGAGGCAAATACGTCTCCATAGAGCGCTGCTAAGTTTAGAATGAGAACTGTCCGGTACAGCGGAAGGCACTGCCCTTAAAACTGGGGGGTCACAGAAAATTGAGATGTAGTTTAGGGTTGGGGATGTAGCTCAGTGGTAGAGCGCTTTCCTAGCATGTATAAGGCCCTGGGTTCCATCCCCAGTACAGGAGTATACCGATCATATCGATCCAGGTGGAAGAGAGACGAGAGGGAGAGGGAGAGAGAGAGAGAGAGAGACCGGCAGGTACCAGCCTTCGGTTTCCCACCTTTAGAGATGTAGTTCTCCAATCTCGTCCTGTGCCAGGTGTGCTATGGGAAATGTAGCCCCAATTTTATATTTTGCAGGCCCCATGGGGGATGAGGGAGGGAAATGGTGAGCGGGTCTTAGGGGAAGTTTGTTCTGATTTTTGTTGGAAGGCAAACTTGTACTTCCGGCTACACTCTCTCCTTAGCAAAGCAGTGTATGGGAGGTGCGGTCCGCTCTGGCCAAAGACAGTGGATAGTGTTTCACAGGGTGGGACCACCGTTGAGATTTTTGGAGCAATGGGTACAGAGCCCTCTGTCCTGTTTTTGGGTTCTGAACTCTTGTCTGAGCTCAGATGCCTTTAAGTTTCATTCTGGCTGTGTCAACCTCTGTCCATCTAACCACTGACCTTTCTGCATCTCCCTCTGCAGCTAATGTGACTGTGTCCTTGCCTGTCCGAGGCTGTGTCCAGGATGATTCCTGTACCCGGGATGGGGTGACAGGCCCAGGGTTCACACTCAGTGGTTCCTGCTGCCAGGGGTCGCGCTGTAACTCCGACCTCCGCAACAAAACCTACTTCTCCCCTCGAATCCCGCCTCTTGTCCTGCTGCCTGCTCCAACCACAGTGGCCCCAACCACTCGGTCCCGGACCACCTCTATCACCACTTCCACCCCAGCCCCAACTACCCCCACCTCTGCCACCAAACCCAACCCAGCCCCAGCCAGCCAGACTCCTCCCCAGGAAGTAGAGCCTGAGGTCTCCCCAGAAGAGGAGCCCAAGTTGACTGGCGGTGCAGCTGGCCACCAGGACCGCAGTAACGTGGGGCAGTACCCTGGGAAAGGTGGGGTCCAGAACCCCTCTAATAAAGGCTCAGCAGCTGCCGGGGCTGGACTGGCAGCTCTTCTGTTGACTCTGGCTGCTGGTCACCTACTATGAGCTTGACCACCTGGAAACGTCCCTCTCACCCCACTTCCCTGGCTTTGGTACCAAGTCTTCCCACCACTGGACTGGGCTGGCCCAGCCCCCATCCTTCTGATGTCCCCCCAGTATCCCCAGCTTTGGCTGCACTGGTTTGTGGCTTTGGGAAAGGACTGTTGTATATAAATGCTGACTGGGGTGCCCTAGCTTTTTGAGCCAGCAACTACTCCCCGCTTTGGTGCCCGAGGACAGAGCGAGACAAGTCCTTTATCCCAGGCTGGGACCGGGAGGCGGGGAACGGTGGCTCCGCCCCCGAGCGCTCGCCCCGCCCCCTGTCCCGTGGGAATTTTGTTCTCTGCCTCAGACAGTAGACTGAGCATCCTCAGGGCAGGGACCGTGCCTTGCGCCTCTACGTGGCCAGTTTCTGGCACAGAAAGACTTCAATAAAGATTCAATTACTTTGTATAGAGCTTTAAATGAGTCGTTTCCCTCTCATTCATTTTTCACTATATATATATATATTTTTTTTTTTTTGAGACAGAACCTTTTGCAGCTGAGTTAGACCGAGCATACCAAAATCTTTCATAGATACAGAGGTTGAGATCTACAGCGAAGGCCCCGGGGCTGGTCGTGGGTGTTTGTGTTCACTTTTTATTTCCTGGCTCCAGCCAGCAAGTGGGTGATGATCCCAATGGTGAGGGGGGATCGGGCGGAACCATTAAGCAGTATGGAGGGGTGCGTGGGAATTGGGTTAGGAGAGCTTGGGCCAATGGGTCAAATGCATCCTCCCCAGGCCACGCCCTCCTCGCCACCCATTGGTTTATGAGGAATCATTCAGCGGGCTCTCCCACTGCATCCCCCGGGGTCAGTGTTGAGAAGTTGGGGCCCGAGCCGCTCAAGCAGGTGAAACCAGGCCCCAGAGGGCAGCAAGCCGGGTTTGGGAATGAGTGTTGGGACTGCTTGATGCTCTGGGGGACGAGATGTGGGGAGCAGTGAGATACTGGTAATATTGCTATAAATCCTGCGGAGTGGCATGCGCCAATAACTACAAAACAACACTAAGTAAAGATTACCGTCGCCAGGTGCGGTGGTACATTGTGTAATCCCAGCACTCTGGAGGCTGAGGCAGGAGGATCCTGAGTTCAAAGCCAGCCTGGGCTACATAGTGAGACCTTGTTTCAAAAAAAAATCCCAAATTAATAAATCAATTAAGTAATAAAGATTATAGGAGCAAGACAGAGTAAGAGCACAAGCTATCAGTACTTAACACAGTGCTGTAGGTAACGTGGTAACGCCAGTAACCCGTGGTTACAGAAATGTCAGTAATTAAACACGGTTTGGCCAGATGCCAGGACTGTGTTACGGGTTCTTTTTTTTTTTTTTTTTTTTTGGCGGTACTGGAGGAACTCAGTGCCTGCACCTTGAGCCACTCCACCAGCCCTTTTTGTAAAGGGTTTTTCAAGATAGGGTCTCGAGACCTATTTGTCCAGGCTGGCTTCGAACCACAATTCTCCTGATCTCTGCCTCCTGAGTAGCTAGGATTACAGACGTGAGCCACTGGTGCCCATTTGTTGGATGCGTTTATTGCCATCATTTCGCTTAATATTCTACAGGTGAAAGAGGAGAAACTGAGGCTCAGGATGCTGAAGTAAAGGATCCCCACTAAATAATACATTTCTTAAGTATTTTAAGTGCTATGCTCAGATTAATGTATTTAATCTGTTCTGATAACCTATGAGGTATTAATCATCTGAGTTGTAGATGATAAAGAAATTAGGCCCAGAGAGGTTGAGACATTTACCCCAGGACGCCCAGCTAATAAGCAGTGGAGGCTGGATTTGAACCCAGGCACACTACCTGGTGGCCTTAACCTTGACACTTGCATCAACTTGAGGAAAATTTAAATAAGGTTCTTCCTTTGGCTGGGTTCCTGACCTCCCTCTGACGCTGAGCTGGAGAATTCAGATGGCTTGAACACAGAGGCCCCTTGTTCCCATTCTCAGAACAGTAACCTCATTTTTCATTTGCTTATTTTGTTGGTTTTTGCTTTTTTTTTTTTTTTTTTAAGACATGGTCTCCTTATGTAGTCCAGGCTTGTTTTGAACTGGAAACCTCCTGCCTCAGCCTCTCAAGTGCTGGGATTACAGCTATTCACCACCATACCCAGCCTAGAGCATTTATTTTAAATAACATCGAAAATTCTTTCTCTGCCAGTTTGAGATGTATGTCAAAGTCAAGTTTGTTGCCAGTTTACAACCACACACATGTCTTTCTCAAGGGCCTATTTGAAACGTGAACGTCAAAGCAGAGAGAGCGCTTATGTCTCTGGGCTTCCCCTGGGGTGAGAGACCCACCTGTGGTAGGTACCTTGCTGCTACCTCTTTGTCATGAGGACACAAGGACACTCTTTTTCCTTTGGCTAAAGTCAATGAGCAAACATGTGACCTACAATCTCTTAGGTCAGCTTAAGAAAACAAAACAACAAACAGACAAAAAAGCCTCCACTCCCCCAGGCCTGCTGCGATGGGGGAGTCCTCCTATAAAAAACCACAAAGACCGTCTGGATGGCCTGGGAAAAATCTCAAGACCCTGTTTGAAAAATAATCACAGCAAAAAGAGCTGGTGGAGTGGCTCAAGCAGTGCAGCGCCTGCCTGGCAAGCATGAGGTCTTGAGTTCAAACCCCAGTGCCACCAAACAAACAAGATCCGTGTCCGGTGTTCAGCCCGAGTCTGGTTCACCCGGTGTCGCAATTCTCTTAACAAAGCCTTCCTGGCCTGTTGGACGTTGTCCCCGCACGGTTTGCATTGACACAGCATGTCATACGGGTCCGCACTGCAGGCTTGGTCACGCTGAGCTGTGTGCTGGTTTGTCACCTCTGCAGGGCAAGAATGCTAAGTTTCTGAGATGCGTGAGGCTGGAAGTCCTTATTTCATCACCTCTCTTCATTGGGCTTTTTCACTTATTTGGGGGGACGTTTCAAAGTTCAAAATACCCCCAGGTGCCGGGTGCATCCTCAACACCACACACTCAACTCACGCACACATGTCCGGCTTCTGGTAGCCCCAGGCGACCCTTGGCTTGTACGAACCTCACTCCAATCTCTGATTCCACCTTTATTTATTTATTTTTTGACAGTACTGCGGTTTGAACTCAGGGTCTTCATCCTGAGCCACTCCACCAGTCCTTTCTTGTGATGGGTTTGTTTTGGATGGGGTTTTGTGGAACTATTTGCCCAGGCTGGCTTCAAACTGAGATCCTTCTGATCTCTGCCTCCTGAATAGCTAGGATTACAGGCGTGAACCACTGGCACCCTGCTTCCATCTTTATTTTTTAATTTTTTTTTCATTTTTATTTTCTTTTTGCTGTTTTTCTGAGTCCATCTTAATTTATTTTTTGACAGGACTGGGGCTTGAACTTAGGGCTTTGCATTTGCTAGGCAGGTGCTCTATCACTTGAACCACACCTCCAGCCCTTTTTGCTTTAGTTATTGTTCAGATGGGGGTCTCATGGTTTTGCTCAGGGCCAGCCTCAGACTGTGATCCTCTTACTTATGCCTCCCTTGTAGCTGGGATGACAGGCGTGCACCCCTGTGGCCAGCCCTCTCTTTCCATCTTTGTGACCTTTCTCTGTGTGTCTGTGTCCAGGTTTCCCTCTTACAAGAAAACCCCAGTCCTGATAGATAAGGGCCACCCAATAACCTCATCTTAACTTAATGAGCTCTGCAAAGACACTACTTCCAAATAAGGGCACAGTCATGGGGAGTTAGGACTTCACCGCATCCTTTCATAGTGGGGGCAGATGACTCAGTTCCACCCACGGTGCAGACACAAGGCAGAATCCAGGTTCAGAGAGGATTGCTGTGCGATCAGGTGACAAAAGATATATATATATATGGAGAGAGAGAGAGAGAGAGAGAAAGAGAGAGTTATGTATGTATATATAAACAATAGACACATTTATCTATATATTCTCAACGCAGAGAAACTAAATCTTGCTGGGTGCTCAAACCCCAATACCATCAAAAAATAAATAAAATCTGCCAGGTGCCAGTGACCACGCCTGTAATCCCAGCTAATCAGGAGGCAGAGATCAGGAGGATTTCGGTTCACAGTCAGCCTGGGCAAATAGTTCGAGAGAACTTATCTCAATAAAACCCTTCACAAAAAGGTCTGGTGGAGTGGCTCAAGGTGTAGGCCCTGAGTTCAAGCCTCAGTATCACTAAAAAAACAATGTGTCTGCCTGGGCAAGGTGACTCACACCTATAATCCTGGCTACTTGGGAGGCTGAGAATGGGAGGATCACAGTTCAAGGCCAGTGTGGACGAATAGTTCTTGAGACCCCATCTTCAATACAACCAGAGCAAAATCGACTGGAGGTGTGGCTCAAGAGGTAGAGTGCCTGTTTTGTGAATGAAAAGCCCTGAATTCAAATCTCAGTCCCACCAATAAACATAGTGCACTTGCACTAAACACATACAGACTTTTTCTTGTTATTATTCCCTCAACAACGATTTCCTTGTGTTAGGCATTACGCCTTGTCTAAGGTGCTTCCAAGTATACTGGCCCTTATTCATATGTGCAAACACGAAGCTGCCTAATTTCATAGATTTGAGCAGCTGCAGAATGTGGCATTGACAGGGTGAGCCGCATGTCCTGGGACCACCTCTCAGGGGCCACTGGAGGATGGTTGGGGTTGCAGTGTGTGTAGTTTACTGCACGTCAATTATTCCTCAATGGACTATTGAGGACTGGCAGAGTGGCTCAAGTGGGAGAGTACCTGCCTAGCAAGTTGAGGCCCTGAGTTCAAACCCAAGTACTGCCAAAAAAAAAAAAAAAGAGAGAGAGAGAGAAAAAAGCAATAAAGATAAAAATACTTTGCCACAGCAGCGGAAGAGAACGCGTCTGACCAGATGAGCTGTGAAGGGGTTGTGGGGTTTTCTTCTTCTGTGGGGGGCTCTTCTCAGGAGGCAGTCTTCTCATATCTTCGTTTTCTTAGTGAATCACCAAGGGAGATGAGA